ATTCATTCATCCACACACCCGCCATTCACACACACACACACCTCCTCTGCTGCAGTTTTGGATCTGCTCTGCTGCAGACGTTTCAGCGCATCCAGTTAAAAACCGACAGTGTGGCAATGCTGACATGTTGTGTCAGTGGACATCGTGTGCGTGTGTGTGTCCAAAGGACACTGCAGACTGAATAAGCTCTGTTGTATGTGAGCAGCCGCATGCATCTCTGCATTATCTTGTTCTTGACCAACTGCTTGATCTCAATGCTGACAGTTATTAATTCACCCAACAAGACAGACCCTTCATTACCATCGATGCGAGACGTCCGTCTGATTAACATATCACACCACTTCCTTCGTTGAACAACACCGAAGAACAAACTGGATGGCCACCGCCATCATGAACTTGGGCAGTGACGGGGGGGGGGGCGGAGCTGATACAAGCCTATCTGATCAGGCGTGCACCGCCTCCAGCCGCCACAGGAAGGAAGGGCTGCAATCAATACAAGAAAGGGCAAGCAGGGAAGCGGCCGAGGCCTGTCCCGGTTCTATTATCCCTCTGAAAGCCGCCTGTTTCTCACAGCCTCGCCGCCGTTGTCATTCAAAGTGCGAGGAGGAGGCGTGCGTGTGCATGCGCTTTGCCTGTGACGAGAGTGAGGGACGTGAGAGAAGGAAGGGACGATAGCAGCAAAGAGAGAGAGGAGGACACGTGAAAAATGGACGGAGGCACGAGGAGAAGAGGGAGGACGGGGGTGAAGGCAGGAGAATAACAAGCGGATGTGGAGCGGAAAACCGTTAAGTAAAAAAAAGAAAAAGGTGCAAAGGGTCACATGGAAAACTGTGGAAACTCAACTCTAGAAATGAGGGCTGAACTAAACAGCATATCTGATATCAGCCAGATCTTCTGACAGCTGCAAGGACATAACTCCAGACTTCAAATCTCTCTCCGACTTTCCATCCCATCAGCATTTCATCTCAGCGTGTGCGCCTGCATGTTTGCGTGTGTGTGTGTGTGTGTGTGTGCATTTCTAACACTGCAGAAGAAGAGGATGAGATCATCCTGCTCAGCATACATGTTCCTACAAACAAGCAGCGTACAACACGGTTCTTCCCAGAACACACAGACACACAGAGATAAAACGGTACGTCTGCTCTGCAGAATCTCGCAGCGTGAGGTAGGAGTTTTTTTTCTGAGCAACACAGCTGTCTGAATCTACAATAGTAATTCTTTTAATAATTTGACGTTCACGTTGAGTGTCATAATAATCTACAATAGATACTCGACAAACGTCTCTGCTGACATGTCAGTTTCTGAACACAGAAGCCAACCAACATTTAGTGGGACTCTCCATGAAGAGTGCAGCTCCCACAGATCTCCACACTGTCGTAAACGCCTCCGCTATATATACACACACACATATAGCCGGACTGAGTGGACACACAGGTGGACGTCTTTGACTTCCAGAAGGAGGAAGTGAGGCAGCGTTGGAAGGATTGGGGGTCGGAGACTGAATGAATGAATGCTAAAGGCAGAGAGGGCAGCGTTGACGTGGTAATGTTCTTTATAAAGGGCTAATGTCGTTGTAGTCAAGCCACTAGGCCATACATAGTTACACAACAGCTGACTGAACAGTCACACTGAGGATCTTTCACTATTTCTTAGCCAGTAAACACCGGCTTACGTCACCCTCAGGAGCCGGAGGAACCCACCAAGCGACGGGACAATGATGTCAGTGGCTGAGCTAAATGGAGGCAGCGATGCAGGACAGTTTAGGAGAAGCTAAGACACACTCTAGACATTGTTTGCCCCCCGCGGTTTACAGCCTTGGTTGGGGTGTGGTCAGACGGGTACCAATATAATGGTAGAGGAGAAACCGCTACAAGTATATTACAAGTGCAATGTGGCTGCACTGAAAAAAGGACTTTACTGATCAGCAAATGTTTAACATACTGGCCCAGAAGATTATTTAAGATTTAACGTTCTACGAAATTAACGCGACCTCCAGATGAGGCCATCGGTTGTACAAATATAAACAATGTGAATACAGAGACTGTATGAAGTGCTGTGTGTGTGATTGGATCAGAGAAAGCTCTAGTATCGTTCCCCCGAATAGCCCATCACGTGTTGCATTGTGCGTTACGCAGAGTAGCCCTGTGGTCAAGAAAGTTGGGTGTTTTGGGCCTGAATAAAGACTTTGCGTCATGCCCTCTGGACTAGATGTCCTGATTATTACACGTTAAGAACAATAGTAGGCAGATGAGACACAGCTAAGCCCCGTTCGCTGGTGGAGAGCAGAGCCATTACATCACCCCCCTCTCCTTGGAGACCTATGAGCGCTGACCAGCGGCAGACGTGGGGGCATTACATCACTGGCAGCGGCCGGGGGGGGGGAGCCGTAGAGGAAGGAGTTGTGGCTGCGTGGAACTGGGCCGCGTGTGAGCCGGTCATCGCTAACGCTCGGTAATGTTGCACAGACACACAGGGTCAGGTGGAGGTTCAGGAACTGCTTGACGTAATCCTGTGACACACACACACACACACACACACACACACGCACACACACCACCCGAGGCCTGCAGCCGGCCCGGGCAGCATCGGCCGCGTGGGACACACACGGGGCTTTCATGACAAGAATCCGTTGTTATCAACGTTGGGGTTTAACAACTGGGATGGTTTGGTATTTTTGTTTAATCACTGCTTTGATTTCTGCATTTGGGGTCTGCTTCTCGGTGTCATTATTCCAAGATATGTTATAGCGCTCTAAAAACAACTTTTGAAGCAGAAACAACGCTGATCTAATGTCATTGTGGTTAAAGTGGGACGTGGAGCATCTAAACAGGATGTGCTACTATGGATGGTTTTACCATGTTTTTGAAAGGCATGGATCGATATTGTATCAAAGACACACATGCAACAATATGGCAGCGTTTATGAACAACCAGAGATTCACATGTCAGGCCGTGGGTACACAAAAACCCTGGTTCTTTTCATGGGATTTCATGGGAAAAAAATGAATTCAGTGGAATCATCTGTCCCTGTTGATTAAAACATAAAAATAGAAAAGATTACACAGACGTTTGATCATGCAGGCTTCCATTGTGTAGCTTCAATTCAGATTATCATATGTGGACTTACAGTCTAGATGCCCGGCAAGGAGCAAGAGTAGTGTGAGAGCGAAGCCACAGATATTATAAATAAACCGGCTGAACAAAGAGGGGCGGGGAGAAAACAAGGTAGCGTAAGACTAAAGACATGTATGCAACTGTGGAAGACTGTGAGGAAAAAGACTACAAAAAAAACGTGTAATACATGAATAAACTGTGGAACACAAAAGAACCTGTCATCCGCGCGCATCAAAGCGTGCTATCCCTCGCGCTCCCTCGTTTGTATCCTTCGCTCTGTGCTGCACAGATTATCTTAATGGAAATGACCTCCATCTGACACGGTTGAGTGGCCCAAAACTGATTAGTTATTGACCTACCTTCCATCTCGCTTTCCTCCATCAACTCATCACACACACACACACAAGTCTTCATTAACAGTACGTCTTCCCTCTTCCCTGCCGTCCTATGTTTATGTTTCATTTTATAGGAGGCAATAGTCCCTCTGGATGTACAGAATCCAGGCTGACAGGCCAAGCGTTATGATATGCCTTCAAGAGCATGAGGGGGTCACACATCTTTTCAGAAGGCTTTGCTGCACGGCTGGTTATCAGTGCATCGAAGCTGTTGTTCGGCGTTTTGTGACCGACGCGTCTGATTCGAGGATTTAGGCGAGGAGACATATTTGCCCTCCAAGAAGAAAGCTCTCAAGCGATGGAATTGCTCTTCTTTGGGTTGAAATCAGAGTGCAGATAGTGCTCTGACCTGGTGTCGGCTACAATGTAACGCAGGAGAGAGGCAAGAGAACATATTGTATTCAGATACCAGGGGGTGGGCTCTAGACCATGCAGATTAAAGGTCCCCAGGTATGACAAACCTGTGTGCTGGCACCGCAGATGTGCTTCTGATTCACCGGCCCCACTCAGGTTAATGCTCACAGACAAAGACACAAACACACGCAGCAGGAGTCCCTGTCCCTCCCTGACACACACACACAAACACACACAACATGCATACAGAAGGCTCACATTGGAAAAGGATAGACCACCATAGCCCTCTATGCTTCTGTGGAAGTATAACAGTAAAAACAGACTTCAAAATTACTATATGTATAAGTCTTTCTATGATAAACCCTAAAACTAATTATTAGTTGGATAAATATGAACTACTATCTGTGATTACATTGAAGCATCAAGCTTGTTTTTTGTACTCGATCAATATTAAGTACAAAAAACGATCAAACTGAGAACCTCTGTAAAGCACAAGTCCATATTAGCTGCACACTCTTTACCAGCATTACCAAGCAAATACAAATATAACATGCAAATGGTGATAAGAAGGCAACCGATCAAATATTTTTCTGGCTTGAAACGTATACAAACCAAGGGCAGAATGTGTGCTAGTTGTGAAAATGCAGACACCAGCGTTTAGCTCTCATGTGAGTTACTTCATATTTTGCACATCTGCAATTCACACACAGGCACAATCTATGTTCAGCGGCAACAACATGTTTTTGTTGCATTTTTACAAATCAGCAGGGTCATTTAGAACCTGCTGCATCGTGCTGGATGCCAGAGAAAAGGCTTCATCTTTAAGGGAAGAGCGACATCTTTTGGACAACTTTGGAGATTTCAACCCAAAGCCCCGGCAGGGCATTCAACTCAGTATCGCCTCTAAAGAGTGATGTCAAACTCAATTGCATTATGTCCTTTATAAAGGTAATTCATTATGCTTAGTATGACTTGGTAACAGAAAGAAAAACTCCAATCAACATGACAAATGGTGACACGCATACAGGGTTGACTTATGACGATAGGAGACCTCTAATTTACCCCCCGAATGGTGACAATACGTTCAGAAGAGAGCGCTTTGTATCGCCGACAATCAGAATGAGATGAAACTACTAACCAAGTATGAGAATGGAGTCTTCTTTCAGGACGTGTTTTTCCAGAATATGCTGGAATTTGGAGAAGCTGCCCAGCCAGTCGTAACACTGCTCCGTCTTGTACCTTTCATCCCAATAGTCAATGTCTTTGTATCTGGAGTTTTCCTCCGGCAGGTATTCCATAATCTCTGAAAAGTAAATGTAACAAAGAACAAAAATCTTTTATCCATTTCTTAAATTACATTAAAGTGCTTGTATTGTATATGACTGTACATTTATTTTAATAACTTGGATTCAGGAAACTATATACTCATATTACAATCTCATTTCAGAGCTCACTAAGTTTGTTGATGGAAAAATATTTATAGTACAAACAAGAAGGTAAACTTCTCTGGACCTATGAGTCAAAAAGGTAAATCAACTTAATTGACATAACAATAATTATTAGTTAGCATTAATGGCAAAGCTAAAATAATTATTATTGGATAGGCAGGTTTGCTGAGCTTGTACCAGGTGAAGTGTGAAGATACCACAAAATCCCACTGGACCATCAGGCGAGATAACAACTGAGTTGGGCTGTGCAAAGACATCAATAGAGCTTACCATTGCGATAATCTTTGAATGTTTTGCGTGTTTTGTTATTGTTATTATGCATCAGCATGTTATATTTAAGTTGAGTCAAGCATGGATTTATAAATCAACTGGCTACAATCTATTTTATGTTTTCTTAAAAAATTGTAGCGTTAGTTATGTTCCTCTGGTTTGCATCTGCCAAGACATGGGAAAGAATTGCTACTGGTTTTAGTTCCGCTAATTTAGGCTAACATCTGTTTGCATTTGATGCCTTGGCAACGATAAACAGCGGCCTGAAGAAGTGCAAATTGTCAATATGAATTGGATGTATTGTACCGTTAAGAATAGATCTTTAGAGATGCATATGGTCTGACTATATATGTCTAAAAAAGTTTTAAATAAATAAAAACGCGAGAAATGCGCATCTGTTGTGAACCACAGACCGTGGTGCGGACCGCCCGTAGAGGTGAATAAATCGAACGCGCAGTTCAATGAGAGCTGTTACGTCACCAGCCGGCCGCTGGCCGCGGGGGGGACTCGCGACGCTGTTCAGCGCCGCCAGTTCAAACTTAAAAAAATAAAACAACACGTCCCCACTGTTACACAGAATGGGCTCTGAATCACTTTGTTTTCTATTCGGCGACTTACGAGCTGCTGGCCGCGTTGAGCGCTGACAGGAGTTGTAGAAATGCCGGTTCGTAACCGAATGAGTCCACGTGTTGTAGTTTCACAGCGCTGCAGCTGAAGGGCCGGGTGCAGCGGGGGGGGTTCTTCAGTGGTGCACGCGCGTGTCCCACAACAAAAATGAAGTGTCGACGAGCAACTAAAATGAGTCCCGAGTCCTTTGAGGAATTTTAGTTTGAACTGAGTAGACACGCGTTTCCTTGTTGATGTTGGTGAATGATTTGGAAAGGGGCGGGGCGTAATGACGTAACGCTTCGTACCCAGGCGTGGCTTTTTTAATTCAATAGGGATTGGGTTTAAAACAAGGCCTACAAAGAGCATCCAGCAGCATTGTTGATTGATTTGCACTCCAAATATACTGAACAACAATACACGTTGTTTTACACCATTAAATACAAATATTAGGGAAGGGATCCGGTCCCAGAGCTTACCGTTATATATTATTTGGATGATTAGCATAAATCATTGTGAAAGTCAGTTCATAAATTATATAAGGGTTGGTTTACACATTGTGTACAATGGCCTCTGCCACCACGGCACACATCTAAACTCTCTCTCAGATGTGAAAATGATTTCTCGTGAGGTTCACTACTCCTCTACCACAGTGGGATTTGCATAAATATTTCACATGAGAGGCATAAATGTGTAATTAGTTCAAAGGGAATTTCGAGGGTTTTTTGTACTTCCATAATGTTGGAAATAATGAATAACCTTCACGTTGCCATGGTTTTAGGATGTTCTTTTCAGCTAATAGCCCATTCTGTAAAATATTTGTACTTTTCTTTTCTCAAAGGGTCCCTCGGGAAACGAATTGAGACATGCTGAGATTTGGATGATTCAAAAGTTACATACGGGACTTCGAAAATATAGTTGCTTTTGGCATTTCTTGCTTTTTCGGATATAAAATAAAATAGATGTCATCTAAATTAAAAATAGAAGATTTCATCACAGTAATACCATATATCCCCCTGCAGATGGTAGTATAACACTTTGTTTGTTGACTGGCTAATAATCATTAGAGCTATGAGAAGTTAACTGATAACCTACCTAATTTATTATCTCATATTTTTGGCTTACTTTGGCAATCACAATATACAGAACCTTGGCAATCTATCAGTGAAAGTACAATGGTGTAAAATGAAGTGGCTGTTCGTTTCCCTGTGAGAGACTCATCTTGTTCCTTCCTTCACGGTGCTTTCAGTGCATCAAGTGCATATCTGTCAACATGCATATTCCTCCGTTTCAGGCTCACTGAGCTGTAATCAGATAACACATGCATCAACTTGGACCGCTTCCTGGTCTGGAGTGTTTTAGGGCTATTGCCGAACCTTCATAATGGTGGAAATGATAGAGCACCTCTAAGCCTTTTAATGCATTCTAACATGTCAAAGGACGTTGTCTTAAAAAGAGAGGTATACGGTTTTCTTAATCCCTTAAACAGAAAAATTGGATATTCACTTTCATCCCTCTGAGTGCCCTATGAGATGGTTTTATGATCAGCGCTGTCTAATGGGGGAAGGGCACCATGGGCCCTCGGGATTTATGTAAGATTGTTACAGCAGAAAGTTTAAAATTGTAAGAGTAAAAGTGTTACTAATTACATCAACAATTTAAGTATTCCATTCAAGTGTTCCAGTGAGCTGCGACTCAAACTAAACAGAATGGATAAATAACTACAGTACATAAAGCATTGAAGCTGAGTTGTTCTATTGCACACATGACAAGAGATAAAAACAGGCAGATCATGCAAGACATTGCAGCAAAGACCACATGTCCTCCTCAGACTCTCTTTATAACGGGGTCATCCGATGTGATGAGTATAAGATGAATCCCCGTGTGCCAACCTGAACAGTACTGCATCATAATTACGTAACCTCCACGCCAGCAACTGTAAAAGTATTCAGTAATATCCGCGACGCAAAGTGGAAACGCAATAAACTGCTACGGTTTAATACGTTTATTCAACAAGTAACCTGCAGGAGAACAAACATCAAGGGTTTCTTTGAATCGGATGCGGACACTCCGGATCCTGCTAGAAGATGCGGAGAAAATTTGCTCCGGATTCCTCTGCAGAGTGGAGGCACTACAGACCACGTGAGAGGACGATGTTCAGCGACGGTCCCAGACAGACCGGCTCATCTCTGCCCCGCTGCTGACATGGACTCCTGGACACTGTGTTTTCTCCGCTACCCGCAAACCAACCCGGAGGGAGGGCGACGCTCTGTCTGAATGTAAAACCCCTTGAACCGTTTTCACCGTCATTGTTCTGTGTGGCGATTTCTTCTCACCCTCGGCACAAGTTTGGACCAGTTGCGGTGCCATGGCTTGGCCGTGCATCAGCAGAGTGTGCTGCTTGGCTCGCTTCTGGAACCAGTTCGACAAATCGGACCTCTCCATCCCGCTCACCATCCAGAACTACTCGGACATCGCCGACCAGGAGGTGCGATCGGTCACCAAACAGGTCTCTGCCTCGGAGCGCGCCCCCGGGAATAACTACGCGACCCCGGAGCAGCGTGCCGGTGCCGCCGGCGCCCCTTACGCGCCCAAAGACGGCGCGGGGAGCCGAGGATCTTTCAGGGCACGAAAGGAGCCCGGTTACAAGCCCCGGGAGGACTACCGGCCGCCGGGAGTGCCTTTCCCCAGCGACACCCAGTACAAAGAGGATTTCAAGCCCTGGCCGATTCCCAGGAAGGACAATTTCCCGTGGATCAGTAACGGGGGCAGCCGGGCAGACGGTGTCAGCGACAGCCAGGCGCAGCCGGGGGACAGAGAGGAGAGGGGCAGGGGTCAGAGGTCGGGACATCAGCAAGTAGCGGAGGAGAGCAAAACCAGCTCGTACAGGTATACACGGCACGTCACCCTCCTCTGCAGACGTTTCAGCACCTGTCGCTGTCCACTGCGGGCTACTGACGTGCTGCTTTGGTGCTTAGATGTGTTTAAATAATGCATTAGCTTCCAGGGTCAATCCTGCATGCAAATGGGGGGTCATCAATAATTCTCTTACACCTTTCATATTTCATATTGTGAATATGTTTTAGAGCAGTTATTCACAACATGGTTTCCTTTGAAACTCACCCATTATATTTATATGTTTTTCTTAAATCTGAAGGCTCATATATCTTATTTGCCTTTCAGATCTTTCTTTGGTTCGTCTATAGAAATAGCATGGGGTATTCTGGCAATTTTTTAAATAAGCTAAAATATTGGGACTTTTATTTAAGTTCCAAATACACTGAATCATTCATTTGAGGTAATGCAGCAGTCTTCCAGAGCTAATGAAGCCCCCCATGGTTCTGAAGACATACAACAACTGTTTACACAGACCAAGCACTATGCATGACAAGTACATTTAATTTATCGTGTTGAATGTCCCACTGAGACCAATGTCTGCCCATGCTGAGCCACAATCGGCCACCTGATGCATCACCCTCCCTCCAGGCAGGAGTACAGGCCATGGACGGGGGTCAGACCAGCCAAAAGTGCGAGGAAACAACCTACAGCTCAATTGTCCAGCCCGGGGACAGAGGCCACCCAGGTCCCACGGGAGACCAGCTATCAGGCTGCCTACAGTGGGGACGGCCCCAAGTCCATAGGGCTGCATCACGGGCTGAACGATCTCTCATCAGCTGCCTCCAGCATACAAGCCGCGGCCGTCACCCAGCCCACCCCCACCGCCGTGCAAGCCGGCAGGTCAGCCGTCCCCTCCGGCCTCCAGCAGAGCGTCCCGATCGAGAGGCCCGAGTTAGGAACACCATTCATGGGAGAGGTGGGCAGAGACAGACGTGTCTTTCATGGTCTATTTTCTATGATATATCGGAGCGAAAGCCGGTGTCAATCCTGCTGGAGCAGCATAAAGTCCATCACTCAAACAAAGGGTTCGTTGGATTAGGCAGAAATCGCAGCATGCTCCTGCAGAAAGTAATCTTGTCTCATCGGCCTGTTGCTGTTGAGGTGTTTTGAAAAGGCGATACAGCATTCTGTCCCTTAGCGACTCAGAGTTAGCCAGCTGTTGAAAGCAGGCCATGCACTGTGTTAGGTAACACTGCTGGTGCTTCACTCATTACTTTGGCCTAAATAGAGCAGGCTTAATGAGAACAAAAAACCTAAACGGGTATTTCTTTCACCCGAGGTCCAATGGTCAGAAAACAAACAAACCTGTAGAGAAATGTATTATCTATTGAAATTAAACCATTCTTGGTATTTCGTTTTAACATTTTGACAGACAAAAATTCAATTAATAACATATTTCATTAAGCATACAAATGATCCTAATCTGTATTAGAAGTCTTTGTTTGCAACGCCAAAAATATCAATAGAAATACATCAGTTTAAAGATGTGAAACAAGGGGAAAAGGAAAACATTTGAAAAATCACCCCAATATTAACACAATTGTACATTACGTTCCAGATGTGTGCTCATATTCTATATAATTGAAGAACTTTAAGGAGACAGAAAGGTGGGCCCAAAATAACCAGATGCGTGATTGAAGCACAACTTACTCCAAGAAGACAAGAGGATTTGCTCAAGAAGCTAAAAACTCATCTGTTCGGTAATGTTGTTCCAGATTATTGTAGGATGAACTGTGTTCAGGGAAACGTCCCCATTTCTTCCCCCCTCGGAGCCGAGGTCAGAGGTTCTGCGTTGCAGTAAATGAGAAAGATTTTGGGAGTCTCCAGAGGTTTAGTGGCATCCCTCCTCCCCGCCCACACCCTTTGCTGCCATCTGCCAGGGGAGAGCCGGGGCTTTTCTGGTCCGGGTCAGGCAGGTTTGTCGGTTGGCAGCAATACATCTCACACTGAAATGTATCGGAAAGGTTAGTAAATGGATTTGTTTGGGAACGGGATTGTAGCAATGACTGAGGAACCTGAACGCCTTAATATGTTTAAGAAACCCGGCACACATTTACAGCCTAGTGAATGTCCAATTTGAATTCAAATTGAACAACCTTTCAGTTAATAAATTTATGTATATTTAATTATTTTCCCACCAGAATTGTCTCCAAACTAACCGCTGTTCCTCCATAAGCCTTTTCAGCATGTCTGTTGTTCTTTGCATTTAAGAAGTTTACTTTTTACCTTTAGAGACACTCATGTTGATGCACATTTACAGAGGATATTCTTCTATAAGTGATATCAAATAATTATCAAAAGTGTAATTCAAACAGTAAAAAAGGAGTTTAATCATGCTGTTGTGTTTTTTTTTGGTAAGGAAGACTTTGATTCATTACCTCTGCCAAAATCTTCCTCGTGCTTTTCTGCAGTCCTGCACCTCCAGAGGTTTAGTTGATTAATGCTGGAGAGAAAAATAATTGTTTTCTAAAAAAAAATGCCCCTATCTTGTGATTTGGGGATGGAGGTGCAAGAAACATGTGTCAATGAAGGGACACAGACTATTAATACCGTGGCCCAGTTGAGTGAAAGTTCACGGCACATTGAGAAGGGATGTGCTGCTGGAAGTTTGCTGCGCTGTGGGACTGAGCACTGCAGTCTGTATTACACACACACACACACACACACACACTCATGCATTTTCATCAGCTCTACTACAATCTGCCAGTGCGACACACACCAGCCCGGTGGGCAGTTTAAGTTGATATTAGATAATCCACCCGGGTCTCCGACGGCCCACTCACTGCCGACTCATTATCGACTCACCGGCCCCCAGCAGAGGTGTCTGTCCGAGCAGAACGCGTCCCACTCCAGTGTGCACTGCACTGGGTCATGGCTCCCCGCTGGTATTCGTCATTTAGGGCACGCTCAGGGTGGGATGCCAACCTGTGGGACGAGTGGCAGGGCTACACTGTGTTCTTCAGCAGCAGGCGAGGCTTCCTCGTTGAGCGTGGAACACAACACGCCGAGTGTTTACATCGATTAAATCATTTAAGTCCCGAATAAGCTGCTGGAATTAATCTGCTCTCGACAACAAAGGAAGCGAGCAGCCATGAAATTCTCATTTAGCTCAAATCAATCTTTCAAATTGTGTGCTGCGCCACTCACACACAAAATCCATCCCAACAGAAGAAAAAAAAGCTGTCACTAATTTCATGACATTGTGTACAGAGTTGAAGGTTGAGGACACGCTGGTGTTATTAATGAAGGTATCAATGAGGGACCTGTTTTCTTGAACTCACTGAACTTGCAAACCTCATTTTAAACGAACAACTAATTCTTTGTTTTTCTGAGCAAGGGTAGTTTGCAGGCCCAGAGTCTCTGTATGAAGAGAGTGATTTTATTTATTGTTGAAAAGTCAATCAAACAGCCACAAAGACACAAAATGACAATAAATTGACTCAAAATCAATGCAAAAAGAGACAAAACCATGACAAACATCCCTCACTTCAGCGCATTATCTCTTTCCTTCCCCCTTTTTTACACATCCCACAAACCAGGCTTTATCCTTGTTTTTCTCTCCGCTTGTCTTTCACTCTGAGCTCTTTTCCCACGCAGCCCGAGGCTGCAGCTTGGAGCCCTGTGCCAAGTTGGCAGGACTCAGGCAACGAAGAGAGGAGTTTATTAAGAGGAGGGGAAAGGAGAAAACGCTAGGGGGGAAGATGAGGTGAGCGGAAGCTTGTGATTGATAGGTGATAGATAATGAAAGAGGGGGAGAGAGAGGGAAGAGTAGTGGGCTCCGTCGGACGGATCATCTGTTTGAGAGTGTGATGTGGCGTCCGGTTGCAGTGTTCTTTGGCACCACATCTAATTTAGGAGAGAGGCAAACCTGGCAGCCGCACAGAGCAGAAAAGCCGGTGTGTGTTTTTTTGTGTGTGGGAAGGGGAGGAGGACTAGACTAACGTCCCTGCCACCCGCTGCGTTGCGTAGTCACATTCAGAGTAAGTCTTCAAGCCGTCCGAAAGCCCTGAGCTCCAATAGTCCGATAAAAGCTGCCCCACTCCTCAGCTGTGGAGATAAATGGAAGTAGCCTCATGGCACAAAGTACATTGAACAATCCAATTATTGGTAGAAAGAGGAATCTGGGCGACTTTTAAAATCTGCCACAGGCCACAGATCCCGGTCAGGCTCTGAGAACAGCCATCAGCAGAAGGAGCGGATGCTTCTCGACGGCACAGAGCGAACCAGTCTTCTCTCATTTATGGGCCCTAACTGCTCTGATTACCTTTGACGCTGCTGTTATACCTGCCTGTCTCTCTCTCCCTCTCTCTCTCTACCTCGTCTCAGGAACATCTGGTGCGGACCAAATTCCCTCCGAACTCTTCTGCCGTCTTTCAAAGCGGGCCGAGGGTCTTCAACATCTGACAGCTGCTCCGACTTCCAACCACAGTTTTAGGGGATGAACAGGGGAATGTTTTCGAGTCCATTCCGCCACACTATAATCTATGCAAGGGAATGTTGTTGTGGGGCTGCAGTCAGTATCCCAAGTAGAGAGGGTTACACGCCGTCCCGCCCCCGTTGCTATGGATATGAATATGCATGTAACTAAAGGCAAGATATTTTTTTGCAGATATAAATGCACCAAAAAACGGCTGCTTTTTGAGTCTATGTGTGGACGTGTGAGTGTTTGTGCACTTGTGACTTTTCCTTTATTGTACATGTTGAGTTTGCTCAAATAGTGAGTGAAATGTGTGGTCAAATGAGTGAACCAGGACTACTACTGTATTTGGCCCTTTGGTGTTCTGCTAGCAGTTATTTATTTCATCAGTATTCAATTAGTTCACTATTTTATTAAAGATTATTAAAGTCCGGTCTGTAATTTTGTAAATTGTTAAAGAAAATACATGAAATATATAATGTAAGTGAAATTGCAATAAAAGCATACTAGGTTCTTAACACTTTGTGTGAGATGTCACTTGGCTCTTCTCAGCTGGATTGTTCACATATCTCACTGTTCTGGGTGTTATTAGTTATTATAGGATTATATTAATATTCTCATTTCCATTCATCGCATTTTACCAAAGGGGACACACACACATTTTTTTGTTTGTTGAAAAAGCAAAATAACTGGTTAAGCAACATGTTTGTATTATATTATATAATAAGAATACAAAGAATGAGGTCTGTGAGGTCACAGTGACTTTTAACCAATGAAATCCAGTCAGTTCGTAAGTATGTTGATATTTGTTCCAAATGTCAAGGCGTCCCTGAGTTAAGGGCTACAGACAGACAACCTTCAGGAGCCGAGTGATAGAAAACAGCTGTCACTTTCTGCTAGTTGTGGTGTGTCTAACTCAGATAGTTTGCTTTAAGAGGAGGTGTCCATTCGATTCAGAGAAGTAGTACGACATATGATTTATTTCTGGACATATTAGCCAGATAACTGAAGAACCTGCATGGCTATGGTGAGAATGTTTTTTGTAATATGGGTGAACTGGCCCTTTAACTCCAGAGTACTTCACAAACAAGAACCTGTTCACTGTCCACGATCTATCCTGATTGGATTATCTAAAAGTAATAATAATGTGAACAAAAAAATAAAAATCAAATTGACTCTCGTTTGCAAGAAATAACTCGGCTGGAGTTTTTTGTTATTTATTACAAGAATATTGATTATATTTTTGGTTTGCACGGAAACATTAAAATACAATGCTCGTGTAACCTTCTACACTTATTTGGTTGAACAGGCATCACAACCACTCGAACACTTCTACTCGTCCACTCATCAATACATTAACATAACACAAAGCTCCACATGAAACAGAATTACAAACACTACACATCAGCCGACAAAACACACACACACACACACACACACTTACCATCCAATTAATTAACTTGTGTGACGACTAGATCCACTGTTCACACATTTTCATACACACACTCACTACTGTCAAGGGCATTAATATTTGCGGTTATTGTTGTTAGATAAAAAAATACGACAGTATTGGAAAACACCATCTATTAAATCGTGGTCATATAGACAGTGCACATCACATGATTGATACATCATGGTAGTTAACCAGAACACGTAGAAGCACTTTCAACTGGCTACCGAACCGGATCACGAAGGATAGAAGATAAATATGGAGAGTGCATCCTGGATTCATAGTGACAGTGTGATTTTTTTCATTCTTCGACTATCAGCCGTTTCTTGTTAAGGGTGAAAAAAAAAAGGGATTTTTCAGAACCTTTCATAATCTGTATGCAATTAAAAAAAAAGAAACATGAGCATCTAAAAAGCGGTGGTTCTATTGTAAAACCATAATTACTTCTGTCAGGTAACACTGAATATCATCAAAAGATGCTCGCTGTGACGCAGCAGTGGTTGCCATAGCAATGGCACTTTTTCAAAGAATCTCTTTGCCCAAAGCAGCCAGCCGACGTTGCCTTTGATGCGATCGATGGGGAAATCTAACACCCCGATGTTCATTAGCGCTTCCAACCGGTTGCAAACGTGTCTTCACCTGTCGGTAAACCAAATCTGTGGCGGCAGGGTGAAGAATGAGGGGGCAAACAGCCGTCTGATGTCGTCCTTCAGCCCCGCAAATCACTCTGGCTTCTTTTTCCCTGGTGACCAGATTTATGTCTGGTGTATGAAACGCTTCATCATTCAAATGAGCTCGTTTGGAGGAAAACAGTTTAGCGGTTGCTGTGGAAAAACAAGCTGAGCCCTTCTATGATTAAGTCAGTGAATACAGTACATTAGTTCTAACTGCACAACCTGAGGCAACAGGACTACATCCAGGTGTGAGTCGTCACACAGCCAGTTCCCACGGTCTCTTCATGGTAGCGAAGAGTTCGGGCAGTCCTCACATCTTGTTGTGTGTCAGTTACCAGTCAGTTCCTGTCCAAATATTAGGCCTCAATTGTCATTTGACAGGTAACCCATGTGTGCGTTGGTGATGAAGTCACAGGTGGGGACGCTACTGACAGCCTGGTGGATGTTCATAGCCGTGACCTCTCTCGGTGCCCTGCAAGACCCAATGTTACACATTAAGGACTTTGAGCTTTGCTCGGCACACAGGACACATGTCTTAAGTCTGCTGGCTTCGAAACACATTTATGGGATCTGTGAATCAAAGCATTTTGCCCTTAATCAGTTCAGCGCCCTGCTGGCTTTCATCATTAAAACTGCACATAGCACACAAAATACTCGGCAGGCAAAGACAAACAAAGTCCTTAGTTTTTTTTAGGAATTGAAGTATTTAAAAAAATTAAGGCCCCTTAGTACCAGTATTTGCGGATTCACCACAGAGCACAAACCACACAGCTGTGTTTGAAAAACACTTTCAGTAGGGCTTTGTCTTTTTAACCAAAGATAATTAGTAGACTTCTGAATTGAATTAAAAAACAAATTCATAATTACTACAGCCACCAGATTCTGTGGAAATGATCTCACATTACATTTACGTCACTGAACTTGAGTTGCTGTAAATTCTTCTCGTTGAGCTTTAAGGAGAACAACAATCAGAGCAGCAAACCGGCGGGTTTGGAGACAATGAATAAAGTGGAATAAAAATGGAGCACCGAGCAGGTCGCATGTCCGAGAGAGCGACAGAGCGAGAAGAGAGGCAAACCTGTTCTGAGGGGATTTGGCGTAGGCCCCCGCCAGAGCTTCTCTCAGGACATCGCTGGCAAACTGTTCCGTAGCCTGCAGTGCACACGTAAACACACACACACACACACACCTTAATAGTCACAAAAAGACAAGGAGAAACACGCAATACTACGTGCATGTGTACATCTCATACATACGGTTCATCATTCTAATCAAGGGTATACGGAGGTTCTGATGAGCAAAAGTAAATGGGACACTTTTTGTTTTTTTGTATGCGGCCTTCGTAGCGACTGACCTTCAGAATCATGGCTTCCACTACCGGAGCGAACACATTTTTCTCCACCTCAACGGGCTGGAAGCTTACCCCGATCTGAAAGGCAACGAGGAGCCATCATAGAAAGGTGGAGACGGTGGTTCTACCTAAAAATGTAGTTACTAGAAGCAACGCAACAGCATGTTGTCACGCTCTGCATTGTGACTTTGTGAAAGAGGGGCTCTTACTTGCTGAGCCGTTTCACTGACGAACTGGGCGGACACGCAGGGGCCCAGGAAGAACTTAGGCTCAGAGTCAGCCTCTTGCTCCTCCTCCTTGACCTTTAGCTTCCGGCAGGGAGGGGTCACAGTGACGATGTCGACTATTTTGTCGTCCACCTCCTCCGGTTCCGTCTTCAGCAGAGCTTGCATCTGCTCCAGCCGCAGCACCAGCTCGTCGCAGCTGCTCAGGGTCGCCGGGCACTCTGCGGGCAGACGCACACGCACATTTAGCACACCAGTTCACCGGCAGCTGCATCCCAGCCCGAGGCGGTGACATCATCGGCGCTGCACTCAGCCGCTGGTCCGGGCGGCTCGGCACTCGAAAGAAGGTTGACGGAGAGCCCTTTGTGAAATGTTGGCTCGCTTTACCGGTTCAGCAATTAAAATGTTATTTGTGCAAGAAAGAGGGACTAGGATAGCGCAAACACAGATTGTTATTTTCTCTGGCGCAGGCGAGAGTGTGACTCACTGAGGCGGGCGGCCTCGTCTCTCACCCTTTGCAGACAAAAGACAGAATTAATGAGAACTGCCTGTGAACACCGCGGCAGAACAACAACCCCGATGCTTCGTACACACCATTTCGGAAACACACAAGCGTTGCAACCACACACGCAACAGCGAAGGGAGAACAGTGATCCACTTTGAGCAGAGTGGGCTTAAAAAAAAACACACATAATCAACAACACACACACACACGCGTCTCACCGGGCTCGTTATCTATCTGCGTGAGGATGTCCTCGATGGACTCGTCGTCGTTCGCGCGCTGGGGTTCCAGGTCCGGCGGCGTGTAGCCCCTCTGCCGACACCACTGCGCCACCTCTCTCGTCTTCGGGGGGGTGAGGGCCTGCAGGCGGGGCGAGCGGTCCAACACATCCTGGACGACCCGCTTTACTGCCACCGCTCGCTGGAGCTACACAGAGACACATCGGTTATGTAAAGGAGTGAATGAAGCATCAAAAAGCTCTTAAATCCAAAGCTTTACATAGTTTAACATCTTGGGCCTGCTAGGACGAGAGGTGCATACGAGTCTTTTGTAGACGGAGAGAAAAAGAAGCGGTAGGTTGGGGTCTGTATGAGTGATTGATGACCCCTACGAAGAGATCAGAGGAGACAACCAGGCAGATACACATCCAACCCGATAGGAAGACATGAGGTAAGCAGAAAGCTAGTCACGGGGCACCAAGCAGCAAGACACAACACAGACTACAACAACAATGCTTATTATAACTCCCATTATACAAGTCCTCTTTCTGGGACATGGAAAGCAGCTGATAATAAGATATTAATGAGCCTATAAAATCCAGTTGATAAAAGAAGGGAAATTATACAAAATCATTTTGTGATTCAATAACAAAAATGAATAAAAATTAATCACAAATAACGTCCGATCAAGATGGCGACACCGCTGGGGCTTTATCACTCAGAGGCACCGGAAATGTATCATCGTTCACGCAAAAGCAAATGTCACCTCTGATGCTCTGCGCTTGCCAATAGTCCAGGAATAATACTGTTCTGTCGAAGAGGCACAGAATGGATGGGAGTCCTCGGCTGAATGAACAAACAACAAACAGATCATTAATCCGCATCTCAAAAGCTTTCAACCTGTTTCAATATGTGCAGGTTTAAGGAAGACACAATCAAGCTCACTTACTCTTATCTGGAACAATAAGGGGGAACTTCTTTATCACCGCTGTCAGCAGCTGCATCATGGTCTCTATGTGTTCAGGGCTGAAAAGGAATACGGGGTGCCATCTTAAAGAGATTCACTATATTGACAACTGTGAAGAGAATCTATTTCCAATGTCGGTTGCCATTGGATAGCTTTAATAAATGGCACTATACGATTCATCAGAGTTCAGCAGGTTAACGATGGATATGTGAACACTTAAGAAGAGAAATGAACACCTAACAACAGAGTTGCCTGCCACAGCATTAGTGTGGGTGCAGAATGAAGCTGTAGCTTCACTGTCGCCTTTCCTCTTCACAGACAGTAAAGGATCGAACCCTTTAAGAATACCATAACGTGATGTATGTCAACGGAGCATCGCGGCTTGCTTTTGCACTCACTTGATGAGGTCGTGTGCAGCGTTATCTGCCCCTTGCTCCTGCTTCACTGCAGAGGCAACGCTGACGCATGTGACGACGGCAGCAGTCACCGGGGGGGAGGGAACAGCTGTGCTGGAACCTGGCTCTGTCTTCACTGGGGGGAGCGGAGAGCGACAGCAAGTGGGACTTAGTTTGTGTCTAAAGTTTGTCTTTCGGGTAATATTAAACACTGATGCATTTGAGAAGATCGACAGTTTTGTTCAAGCGCTGCTTTTTGTAGCTATTAGACAAATGAAGACGACAGAATAGGAAGTGATGGAGGTAAAGAGTTAAAGACTGAGAGGAAAGTGACAGGAGTTGGAGCCCTCTCACCTTGGGCCAGAGGCAGGGCAGGGGAGTGGGACGCCTGTCTGGCGGGACTTGGGGAGGCTCCAGCTGCTCCAGCAGTGGTGGAAGACCAGGAGGACGGAGTACTGGCGACGGGGCCTTTAGACACCACTATACACAGAAGAAATGGATGAATCAAGGGTCCATTCGGTAAATAGGCCAAACAGTTGAAAGATGACAGGGGGGGTGGGGGGGGGGGGGGGTAGAGTGCTGCAGAGAGGAGAAACTACAGTTGATGTTTCGCCAACTCAACTGAAATCCCACCCGGTAGTCTAACGTAATGACAAAATTAACTTCAGAAAGTAAAACTGAATAAAGCCGCCTCCTCCTGTCCTCCCCCTCCTTCTAAAATCACATCAGAGGGCGAAGTGCTCTTCAGAAAGATGAAGCCCCAACAGAGCAATCAATGTCAACGCCATCCCACGTTTTATTGCAACTGCTGCATCGGGCATACTGACCTTTCCCAACGGGCATGACTACGGTCTGCACCCCGCCGGACGCGGCGCCCACCCCCAGCTGCTTGAGCTGGTTGGCAGGGATGGTTAAGACCGTCTGTTGGGAGGCGGAACCGATCTTCAGCATACCTGGAGAAAAAACGTCAGGTGTAAAGGGGGCGTTCGAGGCCGGGCGCCGTGCAACCCTCGTTCCGGCGGTTGAACATGCTGCGCACCTGGGAGAGCCGCGGGCGTCTTTCCTCCTCCCGCCGCCGCAGCCATCCCGCCGACCAACGAGGCGGCCGCGGCCAGCGACGCCCCGCTGCTTTTGGCCACGCCCACCCCTGCGCCCTTGGACATGCCGACGACGGGCACGTTGGCGATACCTTTGGCCAGCGTCACCACGGCCCCCGCGGAGCCCGCGGCACTCTTTGTCGCTGTGGCAGAGTTTGCAGCACCCTTGACCAAAGTGGCCACAGCCATCTTTGACAGGCTGCCTCCAGCAGTGGCGGCGGCAGCGGCGGCGGCGCTCTTGGCTGCGCTTATCACGGCCGCTTGGTTGGCCGCCACCAGGAGCGAGTGCTGCTGAGAGGCCGACTTGACGCCATCGGCCGCCTGCACAGGACCCACAGAAACACAGCGGTCACTCTTCCAATGCGTCTTTTTACCAAAAGTATGACTTTGACCTGCTAAAAATATCCCAACACACGATGCAGTAACAGAATTAGATTCTATACTGCAAATACAATGCTGGTATATTTATCTGCAGAATAGTAATAAATAAAACATCTGTGCGGTTCCTTTTTGACCCGCTTGTTCCTGCCCCTCTTTTTGAACCCTTGGCTTTGATATTAGTATTCATCTACAAGATTATATACATTTATATTTAGATTATACACCGCTACGTAATGTTGTTCTTCCATATTTTACTTATTCTTTTTTCTCCAACCAGCCGAGGGCAGTCGGCAGGAGCTGGTGCACTCGACCCCACGGCCCAATCCCCCTGAAGCCTTAAGAATAACCCTTTTAGTAATACATATTGGTGTTTACAAGAGGGAGTCCTGGGAAATAGAACCACTGCGCCTTCAAAGTTATTGTTAATGATCGTTTCTTTGCTCTGGTCGCGGTGAGATGTGACGATCAGGTCACTGGTTTTATGGAATCAATCTCTCTTGATTAGATTAACAGTTTTTCCAAAACCAGAAGGCGGTGATGTATCCCTCTTTGGTTTTTGCGTCAACGTCTCCATAACAGGGAGGGGCGAGGGGGGGGTTCCGTTATCCACTGTATACAGATTGGTTTTGCTTGATTACATTACAGGTCATTTAGCTGACGCTTTTATCCAAAGCGACTTACATTACACTTTAAACCGTTTCACCGTTTTCACATTTTGCCCGGGGAGCAATTAGGGGTTAGGTGTCTTGCTCAGGGACACTTCGACATGGAACATGGGGCAGCCTGGACTCGAACCACCAACCTTGTGCTTCCCAGCACACCTTCTCTAACCCCTGCGCCATTTCCATTTCTGAAACCAATGACGCCTGGCGACTGACTCTGAGGCTGTAATCACCCAAACACAGACCACGGCTGATGGACTGCTCAACACGGTCTGTGCGGATGCCCTCACTGGGCCATTCCTCATTTCTGTGTGTTCATGCCTCAGTGGGAAAATCACCACAACATTCATCTCTCACTTTGACAAAAGTTAAAACTAGAGCTACCACTTTCGGTTCAGCGCTTCGGCAAAATGTCATCACCATCAATTTATCCTATTAGGTCATTTCAGGAAATTGTTAAACCAGTGAGGCAATATGGGGTATTTAAAGACATCCAATGGCTTGAAATTAATTTGAAAAATGAACAGCAGTCAGGCAGAATCACACAGAAGAAGGTGAGGACTGTGAAACTAGCCTGCTGCTGACTGGCCGCTGCAGCACTGACGGAGCCGGGGGTGGAACTAGCGGCGGTGATGACTCCGCCCGTCATCCTCAACGTGGTCGTCCCCGGCTTGGACAAGTGGCCAGCTGCAGATGCCGTGACCGTCTTAATGGAGCCGTCGGACAGCTTCATCTGTGCACCCTGGGAGGCGCCCACCACCTGTTCGTCGTTAAAAACCACAATGTTCGATTTAGAATCCGAAACCAAGAGACACACCTGATGCAAATTAACACGTTTCTGTGATCGCTCTGGCGCTACTTGCAATTCAGCTGTCTATATTAGCATACTTGAAGATTATAAAGGAACTCAGGGATGACATTGCTATGCAAAGTCAAAGTAACAATATCATACAGTCAGAGACAAGGTCTGTGAAAAGAGTTTAAAGACAATTCTTTGAAAGTCCACCGACAACCTGCAAAATATAATGCTGGTTTGACTTAAATTGTTGTGCTCCTTGCTTAAAAGAAGCATCTGAAATGTGATCAGAGGACTCATCAAATGTATGAACCAACATTTTAGGAATGGGATTCGCAAAACTCTCTTTTTCTCTGATTTCTGTCAAAAGCAACAATCATAGGATGGTGCTTTGAGGTCCGAATGTATGGAACAGCCTTCTGGAGATTGTGAAGCAGAAGACGGGCGCAAACATAAGTGTAGACATTCCTGCAGCTCCCATCGGTATCAGACACTGTAGAGGATGAGTCCTGCTCTCCGCCTCATTGCCCACACTGACCTGAGCCAGGAGAGACGCCTTCTGTCCAGCTGTCACCCGTATGGCCTGCTGGGCAACAGTTGCTGGAGTTGATGCTAATTGACCTCCCGAACTGGAACCACCCTGCTTCCCCGAACCCTGTGCTGGCTGGCCAACCAGAAACGTACCCTGAGGACAAGCCGGGTTTAAGGATAGGGTAGAGATCCAACAACATATTACTTTTGAGTGAATAAAACCCAGTGGAATGGTCAAGGTCTAAACTCAGCTGGGAGAACCACACAGCACAAAGAAAAAATCCAGATTCCTTACTTTAGAGGGAAGCCTCTGCAGAAAACTATCAAATGATGTTTGCTAAATATTGTTCAAAGGCTGACTGCTGGATCAATGCTGCTGTAAGTGAACATGTCTAATTAAGAACACACCAGGCTCAACTTCTGTACTACAAAACAAGGACAAGAAACCTCTTGCAGATTGCATGCAAGTCCTGTAATGCCTTAAGGGAATAAACTAAAAAAGTACTGCGGTGATGAATAGAAGCATCTTTCCATCATTTGATAAAACTCACATGCACATGCCGGCAAATAAATACAAATGCTTCCATAAACAAAAATGCAGCTCCACAACATCACAAAACACATGATTTTTATGCCTGTCTCGAAGGTTTGAGTAATAGTGTAAATGCATCTCTACGCACCTGTGGGGTCTGTTTAAGGATATATGACGTGTATGAGAGGTTAGAGGGCAGACTGCTGGAAGAGGAAGGGGAGGAAGAGGAGGTCTGAGGAGTGCCAGCGCCTGCCGATGAGCTGCTCTGGGACTGCTGACCTAAATAACACACAGACACAAAGGATTTCAGTCTAAAATCTGACAAACAATCCTGTTATTATCCCCAATTACAGTTCATCTTCTTTGTCTAATTTCAAACAGGTTCATTCGTTTTGTACCTGGCAATTTATTCTGAAGCGGAAAGATTCAGAGTTATATTGGTTTGGATGAAATACAGGATACTGCTTAATCTCTCTAATCTCATGGCAATTTGACAGGGAGTGTGCTGTGTGACAGATTATAGCTCGCAGTACACATTAAATAAAATGCAGAGAGGACTGTATGACTATGACTGACGCACTACCCGGAAGGTAGGGGAGCAGCCAAAATGTGTATCTGCCACCAGCATGCCTCAAATTGTAGAGTCACTTCGGAAGTGGGCCTCTGCCAGTTGTTATTACAGCCGTCTACAATTTGAGGCGTGGAGGAAAAGGTCGGACCGGGACACAAACCCCGACTTACTGAGTGTTAGTTTCAGTTATTAACAAACAATTTCTATCATGAGAGACAAACAGAGGACACAATACAGACCATTGAATTCCTATCATGTTGTGCATGGCCAGATGCTGAAATATTCTCAGACAACATGTTTGGTTTTATAAACACGTTTTAAACTGGAGGTTATATTATATTCGAGGGCTTGATACTGTGACAGTCTGCTGAGTATCTGAGGCCCTTGAAATGTCAGTTCTACCCTGAAAACCTTTCTACAAGCACACATGTATTTTGCTCCCACAAGAATTGTGTGTCACGGTGTAAGAAGGTGGCCAATCCAACAAGTCATTATGAAAATGGTTAAGAAACTCTTGTCCCTTGAACCTCAAACTTGAGTATATCAAGTGTGTGACTTACAAGCAGTAGGAAGAAGGGGAAATCTATAAATCCACTGGCTGTTTCTAAAAAGATTGATGCAAGATGTAGCATGTCTTACTTGCGCCGGAGGCCCGGAGGATAGCTCCCTGTGGGATGAGAAGCAGCTTGCCTTTCCCCGAAGGGTTCTTACTGTTGGTGGTCAGGTAGAGCTTGGTGCCTGGAGGTAAATTGGCTAGATTGGCCAAGTTGTTGGCTGGCAGCTGAAGAGTGGCCATCACTAAGGACATATGCAGGAAAAACAAAAAAGATTGTTTACCTCTGAAATTGCATTCCAGACACATGAAGACTCCCTTGCACTCATGCAATTCTTGAAATTCGTGAAAATGCTTGTGCTGCCTTAATGTCACATGAGCCATGTCCACTTGCGTGTGTGAACTCTGACCTCCACTCTTTCCACTCGAACCACCAGCAGCCTTGGCAGCAGGCTGCTGACCAGCGATGCCACTGGCTCCACTGACGATGGCTTTAGCGACTCCCTGAGCCAAAACCTGCTTCCCACCCATCACCTTGGAGACAGAAGGGTTGCCCTTGGCCACCACGATCTGTCCGCTGCTGATGGCCACCTGTTTGACTGCCGACTGGAGCGTAGAGCTAACAGGAATGCCTAACATCTACAAATGGGAGGTGCCACATATAGTTGTTGAATAAACAACTGTTAACATATAAAGGATAGATGTGCTTCTGTGTGTGTGTGTGTGTGTGTGTATGCAAGACTAACCTTGCTAGTCGTTGCCCCTGTGGCCCCTCCTGCCGGTTTCTGGGTCGCCATGGAGATCATGTGACCTCCTTTCGCTGCGACAAACGGGAGTGTTGCTGTAGTAGCAGGTTGCTGCTGGCTGGTTACTGTGGAAACCATCTGCTGCTGATGTGTGGAAACTTCCCCTGGCTCCTGCTTGATAATAACCTGCGAAAAAGTGAGTGCACATGGCGATAACAACTGTAACAGGAAGGCCACCATACTTTGAAAACAACAGGATGTAAATACTGTGGCTGTTATCATGTTGTGCATTTTACTAATTGTACTTAATTTGACTGTCAAATGTCCCTTATTTTCCCATCAGGCCACTGAAGCGCTTCTTTTCTAAAATCAGCATCATTACTAATTCATCATCCGCCCTGGCCTACAATGTCACAGCAGGTGCCAGATACGCACAACATAAACAACTGTAGGATCCGAGCAGACAAGCGCACCACTGTGATTAAACTGAAATCTAAAAGCAGATTGAAAGAGTCATTCCTGGTAGATGGCAACAGGACGATTGACTTATGGAAGCTGGAGAATTTTTACAGCATGGTCTCGACACAGAGTCGATTCTGCACCCGCTCCCATCTTTAGAGCGATGTCCCATTTAAACAGCTTGCCGAGACACTCGCATCGGCTGAAGATAGCACCCTGGTCTGCTATTAATACCACCTTGGTTTGTTAAAGATACAGATACCACAGAGACAGACACTTCTGTGCTGGGAAGAGATCAGTAAAAAGAAATGAAAAAGAAACTTAAACTTAAAAGGGTGACACCAACCAAGCTCGGTCTCCCACCAACTCACCTTCATCCCAGACGACAGGAAGGTGCCAGTGTGGACTTTGGGGGCCGGAGAGCGAGCGCCTTGAGCGGCGGACTGTTTGGACGAGGGGCTTCCTGGGGAATAATTCACACAAAAATACATCATGCAGGAGACGACAGTATTTGGGAGGGTTCACTGCAGGTCTCGCCGTCTTTACATAAGGTATCTAGGCCGTTGAGTTGCGAGGCGACACTTCGCTCTCAAAGTCACTCTGCGTGGGTGTTGAAGCCGAGCAACGATGTTTGGTCCTTTACCTACCGCATTGAAATAAGTTTTATCCCGGGATTGGTGAATCAGCACTAACGCACACATCATCCAGCTTGATAAAACCTCACTTAATGACACTCAGGCCCTGCTGCCAGGATTGGTTCAGCTGTTTATATGGAGGAAGAGTGGGATGGGCTGAGTGGGCGAGAAAGAGGGAACAATCTAAGGTAAAGAGCTTCTAGGTGGAATATGAACTGACGTTGTGAAAAAAGCTAGTGCAATAATCTTGGTGATGTAATATAACTCTGGTCCATGTGTGATTCACCACTCATTTCTGCTGATAATTGGGTACCCTGTCTAAAGGGAAACACATACACAAACCGATACAAAACTTGATGTGAGCCCAGCGTCTCATCCTCCTAATCTGGCCATAAAACAGAGCAGCTCAGTCCCCATGGTAACCGCTCATCCAGCGGAAAAAAAAGTACCAAAATAAGAGAGAAATGGATAGAGAGGAGAAGAGTAGAGGGTATTGTTCACCATTTAATCCCCTACAGATTACGTTCTTTCCAGGCGTGTATATGTTCTACGTGGGCCGCTCAGACACCGCTTGTCTTTTTCCCTCGAGGCCCACTTTCGATTTCAAAGGCCACCTCGATACCGAGTGGGAGACGCGTACCTGTGGGGGCAGCGGATGAGGAAGCCATGCCGATGACTTGGCCAGGCTTGTCCACAATGATGTACGGGTTGTTAAGGGCCGATGAGGAGCTCTGCTTGCTGTGGACGGGGGCGGCGGTGACTGGTGTGCGAGGCAGCGGCGAGTGGCTTGGGGTGGATATGGGAGACCCTGTGGGGAAGAGAGTAATTAGGCCACAAATGATGTGATTCACATCACTGCCAGTCAAGCAATTCGGCACAACTTAAACCTACGCATGATGAGGATATAAAGAAGCCAGAGAGACCAATTGTAACATTTTTGTGGTAGAAAATGGGAAATCATGAGAATTCTCCTTCCGTTTCTGTAATGGCTACATTATAAATCATTAGATAAAGTGAAGAGTGAACGTCAACACACCAGAACACAATTTGCAGAATACATGGACAGAACAATCGTGTGCAACTTGGAATACTGACAAAGTTAAATTGGATAACGCTTATGCTGACTTATTGGTGTTCATGTTTTATCCGTAAAAAATCTAAAATAAAAGTAAATAAATGCAGATTAGGTGACTCGCAAACTTATTAAAACAAATTCGCATGAATATCAAATGGCCACTGGGTGGCAACACTTACCTGAAACTATTTTACAGCTCATGGTGATTGGTTGGAACGATTTACTGGGAGACTCAGTGGGACTGGGGGGTAGTCCGAGTGGGACAATCTTACAGCTCGCTGTAATCGGCTGGAAGGCAGAGTTGCCATGGGAACCGAGAAGGATCCTGTCGCCGACCTTGGGTCTGGTCGGAGTGCGTTCACCAGCAGGGAGGCCGGAGCCATGGCCACTTACAGACCTTCCCATCTCCGCTTTGATGAAACCTCAAAGGGAAATGAAAGAGTAGATTTTATTTTATTTTTTTTACTCCCTTTCAACACCATTAGGAGTAAATGACAGGTGTAAAAAGACAAAGCATCTAGTATCAGAGTATAAAAGACCTACCTAATAATTCATTTGTTTTTCTAGAAAGGAGTATGACATTGTTTTTACTTATGAAAACAAAGCCGCATAACACCAGTAGCATAGTCTTATACCAGTAGCATAGGCTTGATATGTGCAGAGTGGAACCTCAAATATTAAGGTTACATGTTACAATACAAACAAAAAGGGGTACCAACTCGAGACCATTGCTCCACAGTGTAACGACATATGGTATAAAACTCCAAAGTGGACCTTGGACTACTATCCTGTGAATACAGTTTTCCATAATGGATGTTTCTGTGTGCATACCTTTGTCTACACTGGGATCGTGTGGGATGGGAGAACTGGAGGGTCCGTAACTTTGAGCCATGGAGGGGGCCAACGTGGGGCTGGCTACTCTGTGAGTCACCTTAGAGGAGGAGGGCTGGGGGAGGTAGTCCTCGCCCAGGGAGTTCCTATAGAGCTCCACATCAACCACCTGGGAGAGATACAGCTCATTGTCACAGTGAGGCACCGAGGACATAAAGTCACCGAAGGAAACAGAGCAGATATTAATAACTCACCGTTTCTGCCCCGAGTGTCTGCAGCCCAGTGTATGTTCTGTCCAGCTGTAGGAAAAGAAGAGATAGTTTAGGTTAGAAAGTATAGGTGAACTGAATAATTGAATTTAGGTTTATAGGCAAAATATACAATTTCTCAGCTGTTTGCAATAAACAAATTAGACAATAATTGTTTAAGTAGTTTAATGAAACTAATATCACAAAAGGTTTTATCCAAATTTAACACAAAATGCGACTTTTAATGACTTTAATGAATTTACTGCAGTCTCAAGATTATTCAACCCCTTTGTGACAAGCATCTTCAGTACTTGGTAGAGCACCCTTTTGCTGCTATGACCTGCTGTCGACAAAGAGGAAAGAGCAGCCGGCAGTTGTTGTGAGTCACATGGCACAGGGAGAGACGTCTGTTCGACTAGTCGTCTAAGGTGTGCGAGCGTGGGGGTCCCGGTTCACGTTGTCCCGTTTTGACGTGAGGGACATAATAAGCCTCCTGTTTACTCGTCATCCAGCTGATCAAGCTAGCGTTAGCTCGCTAATAACAGCAGTAAAGCAGTTAGCAAGACTAAGACACGTTTTTATTTACTCGCCTCTTTTGGATCATTCATTTTTCAATGTGTTGTCTGATATTTTGTGCTTTGTCCCATATCGGTTATTGTTGACAAATATATTTGTGTGTGTCTACTTTTTAATGCTGTCATATATGGTAGTCCAGTGCTCTTGCGCATATACTGTGGGTTATACGGTAGTTGATGTTATGCCTGTATAGGAGACAAGTAAGGGAGACACATGGTGATCCATTAAATCTACTAAGAAGCCTCTAATGCATTTATTTAGAAATGCCATTTTAAATTCATCTCATAGCACTTGGTTGTTTTTTAGCTGTATGCATTTACTTAACTTGCTCTACAATGATGGTAATAATTTAATGAATATGCTTCAAGTGAACATGAGGGTGTGTTTGTGAGTGTAGTATAGAGAACTAGTTCTGACGAATTTGAGGTTCTGTTTAAGAATAAAGGGTTGGAAATTAAAGCTTTTTAAAAAAAATCAGATTCATCGATTAATCGAAGAAATAATCGACCGATTAATCGATTATCAAAATAATCGTTAGTTGCAGCCCTACTATTAACCATGGTAAAGTCTTCTGTTTTTCCACAACTCATTTACAATCCTAATAAAATTCTAGCTACAACTTCAAGGTGATGTGCCCACATCAATTTAGTAGTCACCAGTACCTAATTTGTAATTTACCAGCGGTCGGCAGGGCAGAAGTCATCACAAAAACAAAAGGACATTTAACAACTGCAGGTGGAAAACATGTGTTTCAGTCTTGGGGGTGTGATGCGTGATGTACTCTGACCTTTAACTGGTGGATGATGTCGATGCGTTTGTTGCGAGGGTCTTTGAAGTGGATCTGGATCCTCACAGGAAATTCTCCCCAACCGCGACGTGTTAAGTGAAAGGGCGGCTCACTGAGAACGGACACGTGCAAGTAGAGAGATCAACTACAATTCAGCCACTTGCAAAAAAACAAAAACTTGCTGCAGAAACGTATGAGAAGGAATAGAGCATGGGAATGGTCATCATATGTTCTACTCAACTACTTTATGCATTTCCATACAAGGGCCTCAAGTTCATGAATAGAGCAACACGGCACATATTGCTGAGCTGCAAGTTGCCAGAGTTTCTATGTGGCTGAGATAAACCAAAAAGACAGAAACTGGTCTTTGCGGGTCTCTAAGGGTTTTGAATTAATGGCTTGAAAGTCTCTCATCCTCTCTCCCTTTGAAGCTTGACGTTTTCATCCACTTCACAACAGAAAATGGGTTTGTCTATTTAAGAATACCAGCTTAGAGACGCATTATTGTTTTATCTTACTTAGGGTTACTGTGAGTGAAGACTCGAGTCAGTCAGAGGGAGCTTATGAGCCGCGGTTTCTTGAGAGAACGTGAGAGTCTTGTCGGCTGAAACAGCCAGGAGGCTACAGCTCAGGATAAGGATTGCGGGCCGATGAAAGAGATAATTTATTCAAAAGCCAGGCGCACGTTTAAATCCATTCGCACTTTTAGAAGATTAAAAATGAAGTGAGACATCTTGAAACCCAGAGCCTCATCCCTTCTGAACACCTAAATTAGCTGGGAGACACAAAGGTACACACTTCAGTGATTTGGGGCGAAGCTTGAACTCCTAAACGTGCGTGTGTTTCTTAGTAGGTGTGACCACTATTAGTCATGCTGATGTTGACTTCCAGTCGGGCCCATCGTGTGCTTAACGACGTCACGGACCCCACCCCGATGATGTGCGCGTCACAATTTCCAGAATGAATGTCTTTTTTTAAAACTTACAACTATTAGTGATGGCCAGCAGACCAGAACATCACAAGACGTCCACAAGAGGGCACCGTCTAACAAATCAATTTCACAACAGTCTGTTTATAACTCAGCTCGAATTACTCAACGTGAACATCGGCAAACTGTTTTTTCCCTCCTTGACAGGTTGGCCGGAAAGTCGTTTCATTAACCGATGACGAAGACTCTCATCCATGTGCCATTTTTCAAAATGTTCCTGTACTTCTTTCAGTTTGGCAAGCGGTGTGTGGAAAGGAGCGGTAGCGCTACTGACCTAGAATAATGATGGGAGTTTGGAAGAAAACATTGTGTGTATGTGCAACACCACACGTGACGGCGAATGTTATTGGGAGTTCTCATCGGTCCCGATCCCTCCCGACTTCTCATGTGAAAGGACCGCCCGAGTGCAAGTTTGTGCAACAATAGCTTGGTGCTCTGCCTAGATCAGAAAAATTCTGTGTGCGTGACTGAAGAGTGCAAACACCCTTTGTCTCAAACGTACAAAAGAAAACTGACACACACAAACCTGACTTCCACTAGGTCGTTGGGCTTGTAGCTGGGATGCAGGAAGAACCAGACTTTCTTCACAAAGTGGTCGATACTGGGTTCCCTCCTGGAGCCCCTGACGTACACCATCCACTTATGGGTGGATTGGTCGTTTTCTTCACGCTTATCTGGGGGAATGTACCTGCGAGATGGAGAAATAAGACAACCAGAGGGCCTTCTTAATACTCACACCTACGATGTGGCAAATGAGAAGTGACATTCAGATTTAGTCTCTAAAGATATTTAGAGGGCAAGAAGTATGGGGCTTGTCAGTCCAGCTTCCTAGAAATAACAAAAGGACTCATTTTACTCTGAGACAAACGGTCTTGAGGAGATGCAACTTATCTGGATCCACTACAGACTGAAATAAAAATACATTTTTCATGCTCAGCTCAATCAGTCTCAGGTCTTCAGTCCAAATTAGGCAATAGCTGTTGTTGGAAAGTCATATCTGTAGAGGGGAATGACCTTAAATCAAATCAACAGGCACTCGTGCAGCGCAGAGATCATCTCAGATCATCAACATGTTGCATTAAACACATTTTTCCATCAGTTTTTCTGTCCTTGCAGGTAACTACTTACCTGCCCAAAACCAATGCGTGGCTGATTCTCATTCATAGTTTTCGCACATACTTAATCAATTTTCTAAAATGTATACACACAACCTATTCCAAAACCCAATTTTCTCAAGCTGTCACTATATGCTGACAGTAGTCGGTCCCCTTTTCGTACTCCTAATGGTGATTGCCAGTTTCCACCACGCTCAAAACAAAACCAAAATATGTTTCATACATGTTTGATTAGCACTGCCTTGTTTATTATTCCCCAACTAGGGATTGACAGATGAGTTCATTGGCTCTGGTTGGTTGTTTTCCGTTTGGATTGGTGGAAACTTGTAAATGCCTGTTGGAACACTAAGAGGAGATAGGAACCTTTAAGTGATATTTTTATCTGTGACTACCAGCACCTCATTGACATGAGTAAATTTAACATATCCACCTGTTTGCCAAGTACCCACGAAATTATGATGTTATATGTTTGTGTTTTTTCCAGCATGCTTCCTCCATCAGGTTTAACACTCTCATGTCTTCCCTGGATGTTCCCAAACTAAAAAAGGCCTGATCTACAGTATGCTTAGTCTGCAAGATGACAAAGAGAATAAAGCATTTGCTTAGTCACATACCTGGACACGTTCCCCACTACAATTGTCTTCTTAGCATAGAGTCTAGATGCTTCATTCCCAGTCGTGTGATAGGTCCCCCTCTGCTCTTCCCCTAAGGACAATGGCACGCCAAATGTGTCCTACGAAAAAAAACAATGGAGAACATTACAGGCTCCATGAAGGAAAGAAAAAAGGTGCAAGAATAACGCCACTTTGCATTAACTAAATACGGCCCCCCCCCACCATCTTTGTCACTTGAACTCACCTTTCCTGTGTTGCGCCCCGGTCTGCGCTCCTGCCTGCTGCCGTCCTCCCTCCATGCCCCCTCCGCGTCCCGCTCAGCTCCCTCGCCTTGCTGAGACAGGGACCCGGACTCCGAGTGAGCCAGGGACAGGGTCTCAGAGCCCTGGTTGAGAGGGGAAGTGGACCGGGACGGGGACTCCAAGAACCGCCTGATGGCAGGATGGTTCAGCACGGCAGGGTCGCTCTTGGAGACGTGCTGGTAAACAGAAGAAATGAATTGGTTGATGCCGCTGTGCTGACAGTTGTCTGGGTATGAATATGCAGGAATGTACCTCGGGGAGCTTTGTTATTCCAGCATTGGCATAGTAGTTAGCCACTATGCACGCCCTCAGCTTGTCCATCATCCTCCTGGCTTCATTGAGTCTCTGAAGAAATAATGGGGGGAAATAATGACATACATACAAACATACAGTATATCATTTGCTTTTTGTACCTCTGCATCACTGATACAAGTGACTGAATGACATGTTGTATAATCGATTGGAGAGAAGTGTCATCCAGAGAAAACGTTACCTGACTTATCACATCTATCTCATGCTCTTTGTTCTTCATCTCCAAAGAAAACTGTTCTCTGATGATGGTTTCAATCTTCTGAACTGCTGCTTCTCTGGCTGAAAAAGAAGACGGTGCACATATGAAAAGTCCCTCAGCTACCTGGTAGGTGTGACAGCGTGCAATGACTGAAGCACATGCACAGCCTCGGGATGCATAAACTCACCGTTGTGTTCAGCCGCTTTGTTTCTTTTACTATTTTGAACCAGCAAAATGTCGTCATAGTCGGGGTCATTGCCTTCTATTTTCCTTTTAATTCCCGACATGACCGCCTGCGAAAAAGAAGATGTCAGGAGAAAAGCATATAGCTAAAGTCTACTCACACCCAGGCTCCCACGGCTAGTTGTTATGGTAGCCCACTTAGCATCGCATTAGCCGGCTAGCAGAGAAGCTCATTCCCACAGCTAGCCTTCTGCACGGGCGGGATAGGTATTCGTGCTAATATGAGAGAGGCCGGAGACTTCAATAAAGACGATTTTAACAACAAAACACGCCGCCGGACTGTGTGTACCGCTATGTGTAGCCGACAGTCGTAACGCTAGCCAACTGCTATCCTTGTTTGCTAACTTAGCTAGCGTTACCACACGGTTGTGTACACCGATTCAACCCGTTTGAAATGTGAACTTACTCAAGTGCCCTGCGCTGGGGGGGGCAGCGTTTCTTTGTGAGGCGTGTGTTTTAATTCAGTGATATCATATCCTTTACGTTATGCTACATGTACCTTACACACTTGTGTGTAGTACATTTCTAGCCATATCTCGAGGTGGACATGTAAGCTAAGAGGTGGTTAGTTAGCGTTGCACCTCCCTGAACTGACCACCAGGAGCCGCTGTTTTACAAAGACATTTTAATCTGACGTTGGTACTCGAGAACTCTCGTTATTTTACTCTATTGACGTTTTTTCTGGTTGGTTTAATGGGGAAATCTTAATGTCATTATATTATGACAGAGTATGACATAATTGACTACAAACAGGAAATTATTTATTTTAGATATGGACCCAACAGTATAAATGCTATCAATCTACAACGTTCATGTCCGTGAGTTTATGATGAGCTCTCGACTGTTCTCAATGAAGTCCACAATATATATTTAAAAAATACTCTCCTCCAGGTGTAAGAAGTGTGGCACAGTTTACAAAAAAAAGGGACACAAACCACGTAGCTTTTCTGTTTCATCTTCATCAAAACCTGCAGTGTGGTTGGTGGTGCTGTAGGTTCAATTAGTACAATCACCTTTTTATGATGAAGATTAATGTGCTAAATTCTGAACATCCAGTCATGGTCGGGTCAGCTGCATCTAACACATGCAGTATAAGAATTGTTTATTGTCACTCTTGAGATTTCACTCATTTATAGTAGGTTTTAAAGATTAAAAATATGTTTAGATTAAAGGCTAGCATATGTATATACTAAGAATGTGTCTCAAGCAATGAAGGATGTATGTGCAATCTTCAAACAACCTTTTTCTTACTGACAGGTTACGAATGTTTGTATGGAAAGAAAACTTTATTGATGTTTCTCTTACAAAATTTAACCACAGCCCACAATCTGCCTTATAACAAACATTTTAAAGTTTTCTCACAGTTAGAAGAATAGCGTCCAAGGAGAAAGTGGTGTTAATACATCAAATCATACATACAATGAGAAAAGTTTTTTATAAAAATGGTACAATTTAATTCCCCACCCCATTTTCGTTTATTTAGACGTATCTGGCGGCATTCTGCAAAAAAACACAATAAAGCCACCCATCTTGCACGCAAATGCAAAATACCCATTGACATTTAACAAAGTCCACATTGAGATAGAACGAAATCCACCATGGTTTAAATCTGCATTCACATAAAAATCCAAATCGATATAATAATAACTTTTAATGCTCAGCTCTTCCGGGTTTAATTTCGATCATGCGAGGGTCCCAGAACTCAGCACACAGGAAAAACATTTTAAAAAATCAACGGCAAAAACAATGAATGATCTTTTTAGAGCAAACGATTTATGAAGTCTTCAACATAACTAATAATACAAATCTTAAAATCAACATAACATGTTATGTGTAAATACTCGGTGAAATCACACACACACACACTCAAATTCTATTGATCTCACTCTTTTGCTTCACCGCTCTCCTGCCCCCTCCAGCCTTCTCTCTTTGGCATCTGAGAATGTTTTCTTCACAGCCTGTACTTTTGTTGAAGTTCTGACCGAGAAAATGCATGGGGGGTGGGGGAGGGGGGGGGGATTTAAGCTGATTTACCCCCGGCTGTTTTTGTCAGTGTGAGTGACAGACTAAAGCACTACATTAATGTTCTCATGCTTTGCATTATACGGGTACACCGCGTTCGTCAGCAAAAAAGTAGATCACACTGATCTTCACCTTTTTCACCTGAAAGGGAAACCTCGCTCACTCCCTTTCAACATTTCTCTCTTTCTATAGTTTTTGCTGGAAAATCGTAGCAGGTCCTTTTACTGTGTCTTCCATATGTCACATGAAAGCAAAGAACATTTACTGATACAGTAAAAAAAAAAAAAGCATGTCGTCATATCACTTTTTTGACAGATTCAAATGTCAAAGTACACAAAAAAGAGGCATTTAAATACAAGTTAAACAAAGAAAACATTAAAAGTTATATTCACAGCAATATCCCCCAGAGTAAAATGTGACTTTTACTGACCACCAGCCACATCATCCAAAGTCCTTGTTGTTCAGAACTCTTAACTCCCCTTTTTGTCAGAGGTGCAGACGTGCTGCACACGCCACCTTACTGGACCAGTAAACACACAGATGCACATGCGGCGGTAACTATGGTTACCCTCGAGGTACACCTTTACATGTAAGTGCACAGGTGAGATGTGCCACACATCTGTGTGAAAACTTGGGTCAACAGAAGTTGTTGCAAAGCTCCCACATCCAGACCGACTTGTGAAAGTCACACAGATGCATACAATACACGCACACCGTCTATTCTGAGCCGTCTTTGAGTTTGATCTAAAAAGGCTTCTCAAATCTACAACACCACCCACAAATCCCAGAACGCCAATGCTCCAACATTGATATTAAATAGACACTAAAAGTATAATACAGTAAACATCCAGATGTAAAAAAAGACAAACAAATATAACTTAATAAAAAGGCCAGCAATAAGAAATGTGCTTAATAATAGTAATTCAGTGATTCAAAAATAAAGCTAAATAGGACACTAACTAGGTGATATGAGATGTGATATGGAAAAAAGGGGCAAAAAGTGGCTATAATCCAATATTGTGACACAGCCTCCGCTCTCTTTTTCTTATAACCACTGGTTCTGTCAAAGAACAACGGTTTCCCACATTTTGATCAGGTCATTTTTAGTTTTGAGAAAAAGAGTTTAAAAAACGGAGGCAAGCGCTTTACAAGTGCTGTATGTAAATATCTGCATGGAGTGCATTGGGCATGTGGTTATTTCTCACCTGGCCACTCATCTGCCAGTGAAAAACAGATTCATACCATTTTTCGTTCCTGTCTCATTCTTGTACCATTGTTTTTTAACGCTTTTTTGTTTATAGCACTATCCGAATTAATTTCAGCTCATCAGTAACCCAGATCCAAGGGTGGGGTTACTTTGCACAGCAATAAAAGCACAAGTTCAATTCAAATGTAATCACCATAATAATAAAATGAATTATTAAAACTTCTGTAGTATTCCATCCATTGATTTAAATGTAGTTAGGGGAACAAACAATTAACTTTAATTGTCAGTAAGAAACTTTCCTAAATATGTATTTGTGTATCAATACTTGAGTTTATGAGGTAAAATAAACCTTTTTTGAATTAGCTTTTCGTCCAACATTTACCTTTTAGTTTATCATATTATTTCCACAGATAAGTGATCCTAATGTCAAGAACAGACCTTCAATCATCTAGTCATACTCCCATTACAATTTCACTCAAATAGTTATTATGTTCTTATCTTTCCTCGATTATACCATTATCATAATTAGTTTCTTTATTTCCCAACTTGTGCAATTACTGCTCCTGCAAGGCACGCATGACACTTGGATCTGACGTCACGTGAGCTCAGGTTAAAGCCGTCAGCATTATAAACCACATTTCCACAGAAAGGCCACAACCACGGTACACAACTGCAAATGATTCACAGCACAGTATTGCTACATGATGCTGGGAGACTGTAAGTGAGCTGCTGTGAACTGAGCAACTTAATATGCCCGTTATAAAGACGGGTGGAATTCTGTTTGTGTGCGTGTGTGTGTGTGTGTGCGTGTGTGTGTGTTGTGCTTGCTCTGGCTCAGCGCTTGCTGTGCTTGTCGTTGTAGCGGTGGATGGTGACACAGCCGTGGTAAGAGATGGGCCGCGGCATCGCCGCCACTCCGGTGATGATGCCCGTCGACGGGTCGTAGCACAGGATGCTGTCCGACGCCTCGCCGTTTTCCCCTCTGCCGCCCAGGATGAAGATCTTGCCGTTGCACACCGACATGCCGCAGCTCTCCTGCGGGGAGACGGACGAGCGGTGAACTCCGGAAGGGTTCAAACAGCGTGATCCTCAGGGGGATGTGGATTTAATGCTTTACCTGTTTGTTGAAGGTGTGGACCACGTGCATCCAGTAGTCCTCCGCGGGGTCGTAGCAGAATATGGACTTGGTGAGACCACCGGACACGTAGATCAGGTTGTTGAGGGACACCGCTGTGATGCAGCGCTTGGCGATGGGGATGTTGGCCCGCAGCAACCAAGAGTCCGTCTCCGGGTCGTAGCACTGAACCTGACACACGGTTACATGTAGTCGGTTAGTTGTGTTTTATTGTGGCAGGAGAAAGAAGACAATGGACTCCACGTGGTGGTTGTAGAATGGGAAAAAAAAATTCTGTGGGCAGACTGCAGCTTCACTGCGGTTTTGCATTCAATCCCAGCATTCTCTCACCCACATTCTGTTCAAAATAGCCGTGGACGTGGATGCTGCCTCTAAAGGAGATTTTTAACTTTAGGAAAACTGGAGCCAGCATGACCTCTTTGAAGATGTAGATCTAGTCAGCCATGCTGAGTTAGCGCTTATCGGAATGCCACTGTAGCTGTAGTACTTGTTTACGAGCCTGCGCAAACAAAGCATATCAGCTGTTATATGGAAGAAGAGTGCTGGCAAACTTCCCCCAGTTAACATCAGCAACATGCTTGCCAGGTCAAACATCATTTCCTGGGTAGCTTGTCAAGTTCTGATCTCAAAGTTAAAATATTTGCTGATCCAGGAAGCTTGTAACCCAATTGTCATTCATCTAAAATATGTCAATACTGTGAGCCAAAACTGTACACATACAATAAATATTTCCAAAAGCTTTTACAGAGAAGAAACATGCGCCTGGAATTTGTAAGCACGGACTAATTTAAATAAATACCAGTGTTGAAACTGGCAGGTGGAGTTATTAGTCAGGCAGACAAACAAAGTTTTACCACCTCCATGCGGGTGCTCTGGGGTGCACGCATCCGTTTCCCACCTTGTCTGAACAGGTGTCGTCGTCGGGTCCTCCTCCTATGACAAAGAGCTTGCCGGCACAGCTGGCCACGGCCGGAGAGCTCACCGCCTCCGTCATGGGAGCCACCTCCGTCCAGCGGTTGGAGAAGGAGTCGTAGCACTCCACGCTACTTAGGCGGTTGTGGCCATCGTAGCCGCCGACGGCGTAGACCTTTGGGGAACACACGCAAATGGATTAGAGGAGGAGTTGAGATTGGCAGCTTGGAGAAACCCGTTTTACACAGAGCGTGTACACAAAGACACAATTACTAAGAGAGAGGGGCTTTGTACTCAAGCTCAGCAGGTATCTGCACTGTGTCGGGTGCAGGGGAACGATGGTGCACTAATCTGGACGCCAGCACATTTACGAACCTTGAACTTTTGAGGTTTGTACTTAAAGAGGCTCAGTCAAGGCTGTGATCCTTTGATATCCGCAGGAAGAAATCAGGGAATCTTGATTCATGCCGTGCTCTGCTGGGGGGCAGCATCACTTCACGTGACTGACAACAGGATCAGTGAGACGATCAGAGCGGCGCGCTCAGAAATGGCCTCACAACACGCTCACTAAAGGCCACTGAGGGAACAGGCGCCAAATTATTTTTTTAATATATATTTTAAACCCTTCTAGGTTCGGTCTTTAGATGTAACATCTTTTAGCTGTTAATCAAGTGTCTCTTGTGGTGGTAATTTTAATAATTGTCTTGTAATGTGAAGTGGTTGCCTTACTTGTTTGAGTACGAGGTGATTTTGTAACAAATGTGTGTCCCCATTGGGAATCATTAGAGCTTTCTAAATGTATCGAATCTAGTCATAATCTGTTAATCCCCATTATGATTAACAATTCAAAATACTATTACCAGTCAATAGATACGATGTCCAGGTCGGGTTGATTAGAAGTCGTCCCAAGCCATTTTCTTGAAAAGTCAAACTGACTCATTAACAGTTAAAAAAAAAAAAGCTTTACTGGAGGCTAAAGATTATTAACTGGTGGGTTTTGTTGATAAAAGAAAACGATAATTGGGAACATGAGCATTAGTGAGTGATAAAAACCTGGCGGAAGTTACTGATTTATTGTAAACTCCTACTGAGTAACTGAACGGAGATCAGTCTGCCTGTCTGCTGACGAGCGAACGCAGCATCACTCGTCAGCAGACAGGTCTTACAAAACAAAAAACGCTTCGGGCTGTTCCTGTCTCTGAAGCATAAACAAGAACAGAGGATAGCGCGCGAGGGAGAGGGGGGAGGAACAAGAGCGAGACAAACAAAGAAAGAAGAAGCGAGAAATGGGAAACATAAAGGTGGAAGTGGATGCAGCTGTTTGCATTAAACACCTGCGCTAACCGACCGGCTTTAACTGACAAGTTGAAACAGAAAATAGACCTGTCCCTTCCTTCTCCTGTATCTCACACGGCCGGTTTAGAAATGTTGATGCTCAGGCGTTTTTTTGATGACAACACCAGCCAAATTATAAGGCCCATAGACCAAATGAAGTGCGTTCATTGTCGTACTGTGTTGCAGTTGATTGAGCTGATAGCAAACGGAAATTAAGTTTGTTGCCAAAAACGGAGCACGCATGGGAGGACTGAAGACAGACAGCTGCACGCCTCAAAGGTTCGGCGACTGCGTCTTCAACAGTTGTCAAAGTACAGCTGAGACGGAGACAAAGGAACCAAAGGGAAGTGTCCACAGTGAAGGCTGTGGATTACCCAGAGCCACGGGGACAATAAAGGTGAATCAGAAACATTCCCTCCCACCCCCCCTTAGCAAGCTGACCAGACACTAGCTTGCTAAGGGGGGGTGTGGGGGGCACTGGATCCCGCTTGTCTCTGTGCGCTCACCACTGTGTAACTCTCTCAGCATTATCTCTACGATGGCAGCACGTTCTCTGGGCCGGTATGTGGCGCACGGAGTAAACATGATTCGTGGCTATCTGAGGACACGCTTGCTATCTACCCAGATAGCACATATATGGCTTACTTTATGGCCGCGTTCAAACATGACGTGCCGAGTGATTGAGTGTGCAGATCTGAGAGACACACACAAGACATTAAGGGGAAAATATAATATTTACAAATATATTATATATATATAGATATATATATATCTATATATATATAGATATATATACATACATACACACACACACACACACGAAAAATTATAAGTATAAGAAATTAAAAGTATAAGAGTGTGATGGGGAGAGAAATGGAGAGTGCACGACACACAAAGATAAAGGGGAGCAATATTATGACGAGGAGAGGAGAAGAAATGTATTTTTGCTTCTATTCTAAGAAAACACAACCAGTCCAACAGGACATCACAGAATCACAGGACACAGAGAACTGTGTGTAAAAAGCAAAAACAGGGGGTTGTCAACTGAATGTAAATGTCAGAGTTGAGATATTTGCGTGTAAGCATGAACGTGAATACATGCTTATTACACAGGTCTGCTTACTAAACTCAGCCGTGCTGCTCTTCAGACGGGGTAATTACAGAGAGAACAAGGAAATGACTGAGGAGGAGGAGGAGGAGGAGGAGGAACCTGAATTCTGAGGAAAATTGACAAAGAAAAGAAAAAGAAAAAAACAGCAACACAGAGATAGATCTTAAAAGAGACTTTTGAGATAGGCGAAGGAATGTAATGTAATCTAAACACGACGATTAGTATCTGTAAAAAAAAAACCATCGACAACAAAGAAGTCTCAGAGATAAGGCTCAAAATAAAGATGATCTAAAACAGAATGAAACAAAGAAGAAATATGAGAAGCGGAAGGCGAACCCACGTGTTCGGGGCAGAAACAGGAAACGGTGGACAATAGCTTCTCCTGGGATTTAACATCTCAGAAGAACGAGCTTATCAAGAAACTATAGATGCATTTCTGCTTCCATGTTGCGTGTGATGCTTAACCAGTTCAGCCGCCATGTTGCCCTTTGACCCAAGTGTAGTGTCGTCATTCTAGAACTTTTAAAATCAAGTTAAATGACCATTTGACTCCATGACTCACTTTGGAGTAAATCACTTCCACAGTCAGAGTGAAACCCTCCAGCGGGTTACATCACCGCCGTGGAGCGCCGCTGTGTAGTTTTAAATGCGTGCATGTGTGTTTCTGTGGCAACCGAGCATTTCGCTTGTTGTTTGAGAAAATGCGACACAGACAAATGATCTGATTTTTTAACTTTGTTTTTTAGAAATGCTGCACATGATTCAGGCCCTTCCTGTCAGAGTAAACAAAGCGCCGTTTCAGCCCAAAGCTTTCCAAGAATATTCTGCACATGCTTTTGAGGCGCCGTCTCCAGCACACACTTGAGTTGTGTGAGCCGAGTCCTCCCTGCTTCAACCAAGACACTTCACGGTTGTTTTTCTCTGCACTTCTCTCTCTCTAACAGATCTTTGCAGTTCAGGAACCTTTGACGAGGCGCACAGCAACATAGCTGCAGCGGTTAAAGCGGTTTTAACAACCACAAATAAATATAATTTACAGAGTAAATGTGCTACATATGCAAACCCAGCGTGTGTTTATCAGAGTTCACAGCTGTGCGCTGCCGGTCCAGGCTGATGGGATTGCTCAGAGACATATGGAGCGTAATATGAGCAAGTGGACTAAGCTGGTCCTCGAACTGGAAATGCTGACACAGGCCAATTAAACTCCTTTTCACCCCGACAAGAATGTCCGCCCGGCCTTACCGGAGACTGAATAGGAACAGCTCAAGAGTAGAGGCAGTGATCGAGGAGTGAGCTATTTTTCCATGTGTCGGGTAAACAGCAAAGCAACTTCTTTATATGCCGCTTTTAAATAAAGGCAAACTTCCTCCTTTCGGTTGACTATGCGACTATTCCAGGATGTGCGAGACAAGCACGCACCAGTCAAACCCTGGGGCAGTAAAAGGAGGTGTAACACACACAAATATTATGACACTGATCCTTGTCATCACAGGGCCTTCAGAGACAAAACACGGAGGATGATCAGTGACTGAAACGGTTTGCTGGGTTGTAGGTGAATGTAACCGTAAGCGGCCAGCTTATTACACATCCACACTGCCGGACTGTCAACAGGATGGCTGGTACAAGAGAGATCAATAAGCAGATCACACTCCTGGGCATGTGCATGAATCTGGCTCCTTACCTTGCCCAGCAGGATGCCCATCTTGTGTCTCCAGCGGCCTTTGTTAAGAGAAGCAACTCGGATCCACAGGTTGAGCTGGGAGTTGTACATCCACACGTCCCTGCTGTTGATACGGCCACCTAGAAGAAACAGAACCGTGCTTTATCTGCTGTGTGTGTGTGTGTGTGTGTGTGTGTGTGTGTGTGAAAGAAATACAAATAAATAAAAGACAAAAAAGAAGAATGGACACGGGGGGCAAACATGCCAGACAACAGTTCACACTCAGGACAATAGTGACAACTATTTGCAGCACAATATATGTATTATTTAGCACTTGATGATGAAATAGACTGTTATTGCTGTCATTTGTCATTAAGTTAATTCTTTCTAAATGAACATTCTTAAATAAACAAGAGCTTCTTTCAGTGATCAGCCGGCTTTGTGTGTTTATTTCAAAGTAATAATTCTAACTGGGGCAAAGTTGTAAGTGTCTGACTTTGGCCTGAGTAAATAAAGGGTTTCATTACACACACACACACACACACACACACACACACACACACACACACACACACACACACACACACACACACACACACACACACACACACAGTATCATGTTCAATTTCAAGTTCAGCAATGTCTTTTGAAATTGTTCTAAAGCAAACACACCATGACTACTGGTCCTGCAGTATAACTGAGTGTCTAATCTGTCGTCTCTAGCAAAAGAGTCATTGCAAAAATGTTTTGGGAATAATAACAGCTCCCTGACCAGGTTACAGTGGGATCCAGGTACATTTGTAACAAGCCCTGACATGTGCCCTCTCTCTTAATAACCCCCCACCACTAAATATACACACACACACACACACACACACACACACACACACACACACACAGATGGAGGGAACATCCCAGCAAATCTTCTAAGAATAAAATGTGTGGCACAAGCTAACTTTTTACTGTGGATGATAGAAAAAAATCTGATATCCGAAATGTAAGTAGGTGAAAACTGCCCACAGCACTGTTACTAGATTCGGTGGCAGGTATCTGCTGGCTTTTCAGAACCTTTGTGGGTCGTTATATGCAGCAATGGAACATGCATAAAGAAAACCTGCCGGTGCATACAAAGCTCCACATGCCTCTTCACATTTATTCACATGCAAGCAAATCTAATCCGTCTAATAGTGAAAGAACCCTGAGGCGTTTAGGAAAGACTTTTACGTCTGCTGCAAGTCGGTGCTGTTCAGAGAACAAACTGCAGTGTCTTGTGATGTGAAACCTTTGTGAGAGTTACACATTGGTTAAAGTTCTATGCAGTTTCACTGCGAATGCAAACTATCAAGTTCAGTGTTTTTCCAACATTTCGGTTGTCTCAAAAGGCAACTAGTGAAGTTATGCTGCTTGTGACTATGACGTGCGGCCCTCCGCGAGGCTGTCAGCTGACAAAAGATTATCCAAATATGTAGCAAATGGTGTTTAATGGTCAAAAATAACAACGCATCTCTATATATATATATATATATATATGGATAATTATCCATTTTGTCCATTTTACTCTGTGGTATCAATAATTATATTAAATATAAATCGTTTTCAAGTTATCAATCTGAGATGTAGTAGTATTAGTAGTATATATAGCAGTAGTAGTATTGTGGCGACGCTAGTAACCCAACGCTCACTCTGGGTCCGACAGAGACGCAGCAGGAAAGAAGGACGAGGGCCGTCCCCACATTGTCAGGCAGCGCTTGAGGAGGAAACGATACGCGAGGATTTGGCAGAGCGAGAGCGTAAAAATGCGAAACACTGCTCACTCTTTACAGAAGGGGGGGGGGGAGGACGGATGGGGGGGGGCGGGGGGGTTCTCTACGTCTTCTTCCCTTTTCCTCTTCTCTAAACCTTTCAACTGCCAGCTAGGGTATCGCAGCCCGTCCCCCGCAGACCCATATGGACTCTGTTGTTAGTCCATATTTCCCTCCCAAAAAAAGCAACCATATGAGACCTGTAGCACATATGTTGGTTTCAGCAGCTACCTTTACTGTGACCTCATCAGTTAAAATGAAAGATGTGACACTCGTGTCTTTTATTACGGCTCAAGTGTCAGCAGCTTTGCCGAGAGCCAGTCAGCATAACATACCTCGTAATTAAGTTGATTCCAAGCTAATCGCAGGATCAAATCTAAAAAGGGAATGTTAAACGTTGCATACAGAATAGCCTAGAAAGCCGCTGAACCGTGGTAAACAGTGGTGACCTCGATACACGGGCCAACAGTGGGAGAGGAAGACTGAGCTGGGCTTTCTCAGCGCTGACCCGGCAGTGCAGCCAGATGTTGTTCTCATATTTTCCTTCAACTCCATCGGGCTGTCGCTGTAAGAATAACAATGCGCAAATAGCCACGGTGGCCTTTTCCTGCCACTACACTTGGGATTTAGATGGCAAGCCAAGCCCCAAAAAGACGCTGGCCATGTTTCCTGAGTGTCCCTGTGTATTTACTTTTGGTTAAATCAAGAGAAACGGAATTGTCTTACCTGACACCAGAATGTCGTTGCGCAGGGCGCAGACGGCGTACTCCGACTTGGTGAACTCGGGCAGTTTGGCCAGCGATTTCCACTCCCCTGTGACTGGCTCATAGCATTCAGTGTAGGGCAGGTTGAAGCCCCCCACTCTCTCACAACCCCCCACCACCACGATCACCTCGGAGTAGCCAGTCGACCTGTGACAACAGGCACGGAAAATCGGATTAAAACACACTGGATCTGCAGCCAACAGAAGAGGTTATGGAGTATAAACATACACACGTCGACCCTTTGAGGGATTTCTAATTACAGGCGGTGAAAAATGTGTGACAGAGAGGTGGTTCCCACATGAATGGCTTCCTTTATCTCAAAGTTCAGTTCACAATGAAAGCATTAATCAATACAACAAAACACTCTTGAGACCAGGCCTCGGCGGAGTTTCCATGATCACAAAGCTTTCCTATTTGGCTGTTCAACACTGGCGACACAAATGACCACATTTCCTTGGGGGAGCTAATTAACTACAGCTTATCTTTTGTGCCGGTCTAAAACAGTGATGATATATCCACCACATTCTGGATCCCAATGTACACTTTTCGCCAGGTTGGGAGATTCGAGCGGTTTCAGACATGCGCAGGAGCATTGCCGCTTCACACGCGTGTGTTTATGTGTCACAAGTTGTGATGTAGAGGCCTATCGAGAAGAGGAAAGGCAGGTGCAGACACAGAAAGGGGAGAACCAGGCACGTGTTTCGAGCAGGAGCGGATTCGGCCCTCGGGGCAAACAAAGCTGACTGCCACTAACTGTCTGATTGGCTCGCCGATCTGGACCGATCTGCCCGGATACTGACACAACACACCTGAAATACACGCCAGGCAGCCTTAATAACCGACAACTGGCCCTGTTGTCAGTTGGCTGACACACAAAGGCAGCTGCTCTGTTGTTTGTGTTGCAGCAGGCTACCATATGGCCCGGTTTGTATCTCATCTGTACGCTTTCAGTCAGCACCAACTTTTGTCCTCGATCAAAGACTACTTTGTCTCATCCAAGTTGGCAAACTAAAATAACACGGACAATGAAAGAACATTTGGAAGACGGGTCAAAAGGTGAACAGGTGCAGACACTCTGGGACAGAACAGATTGAGTTACACTGATAACAACACTCAACATTTCATGATTGCCATTTCTTATATCACATATCTCAATTTTTTCTTTCCAGCCAACCGGTCTGTGCAGCAACATGCCTTGCCTCCTCATTATCGTTTCTAAATAAGTCCGCATAACACCGCGCACTCAATGACACACACACTTCTGCTCAGTACAATAACACTCCCTGTGTGTCTCTCTCACACACACACACACACACACACACACACACACACACACACACAGGCAACAACAACACTGCCGGGAGCACAAAGTTCATACACAAGTTCTAACCTTTAGCTACACAATGTGGGGTTTAATATCAATGAGCTGCTTGACAGCCGTGTTGTTGCTGTTCTTTTTTTTTTCTCTCCCTTATCTCTGTCATCACAGTGTGGGAGGTTTTCTTTAACCCGACAACAAATACTAGCTGAACAGAAAATCTAACCAATACGTTGCGCCACTTCCACATGCCAAAAAACCAGTGGAACCACCAGTCTCTGTTTCCTTTGTAGATAACAATTATTGGCCGCCGCCGTCCTCATAGCCGGCCGGTCGACATTTCAGTTACCTGCGTGGACGAGTTCTCGGTGACATCATCTCGTTCCCCAGCACGTGGTAGCGTCTGGCCTCGTGGAGGAGCAGGTAGCACTCGGGGGCATTCTGGATGAGCTGGTCTCCCTCCACCGTCTGGACGAAGTAGTTTGGGTGCAGGAGGGGCAGGCGCACGTTGTGCAGCAGGGCCTTCAGCATGGGCTTTCTTTGCTCCACGCTGTGGTACACCCATCTCATCACCGCCTCAAACACCACCTCCTCCTTCCCGATGGACAGCTCGTCGCTGGCGGTGTACTCCTCCAGCTGTTCCTTGCGCAGGCCGAGGAACTCTTCGTGCTGCGCCACCTCGGAGAAGTTGGCCAGCGCGTAACTGCGGCAGCGGCCGGCCAGTTGCTTCAGGGAGTGCGTGTCGGCGAAGTGCTGGATGCCCAGGCAGTTGCAAGGGTCCAGCTGGTCCTCCAGGAACTTGGCGCAAGCGTCGCGCAGCGTGTAGATCTGGAAGAGGCTGGAGGTCTCGAGAAGGAACTGGACGTTTTCCGTGGTGATCTTGGCGCGGCCGGTGTAGACGTAGGCGAGGAAGGAGTCCATGGCCTCGGCCAGGATGCCGTTGATCTCGACCAGCATCTCGCGGCTCTCGCGGTGGTCGTTGCAGAACATGGCTCGGAAGTAGGAGGAGCAGGCTGAGAGCACGGCGCGGTGGCACGGGAACTCCCGGCCCTGCACGCTGATGACCACATCGGTGAACAGGCGGCAGTCGCGGAACTCATTGAAAACCTGCAGGATGCCGTCCGAGTGGGATGAGCCAGAGCAGAAGTCCAAGAAGTCCTGGCTGGCTAACGTTTTGGGGTCAACCTCAAACACCTGAGAAGACAAACAACATGTATTAATGTAATGTGTTTTTTTTTTTTTTTTTTTTTCCCAAATGAAGTCAGTTGAGGCAAAAGCCGCAAGATGGAAAGCGTTGAGGGCACCTTGCGTTTGACAGCTGGCGAGTCTCTTATCTCGGATTCCTCTCGGATCATCCTTCTGCCCAGAATCAACACCATGGCTGCCGCCTTCGACGTGGACCTTCTCTAGACTTCAAGATGAGCTGAAGTTGGAGAGCAGGCAGTTCGGCATTATTACACCAGGGCATTATTCCATTTTGATTATCATGGCATCCTATCAGGATGTAGGAGGGAACAGTCAGCAGCCTAATTGCATCACTGTAGTACGAATAGAGAACATCCACCAGAGACAAACAACAGAGTCCCAGAGCGCAGCCACGAAGCACGTGTGCAGAAGTGGGTCACAGAATGGGTTTCTGCTCACGGCGTTAAAGAAAAGTGATGCCGATGATCTCGAGTTACATTTTCTGTTGTAGTCCAACAAATAGCCTGACGACATCCGCCAACAATTACCCTTCATGAGGTGTACTCTATTCACATCCACCAAAAATGCGTGTGTATTAAGAACAGAACGCTGATGTCCTTGAAGAACATTATATTAAACGTGGATGTCTTGATGTCAAACTATTTATGTTGCCGGCGGGTCTGCCCTTTCCTCCTGTGAGGTCATTTATCTCAGGTTATTTTTATTTCCCGCAGCAGCAGCTCTTTGGAGTCATGTGACGTTGGATCAGAGGACAGGTTTAGTCAGAGGAAACTGCACAGAGGGAATTGCTTTGTGACGAATGCTCACTGAGGACGAGTCCAACGAGAAAGTCTAAAAATAAACAATAACATGGAATATTTGATTGCATTCTCTTTTAGTCAAACTTTAGTTTTTGCTGCTGCCATGTGAAATACAGTTGAAATTGCAAGTGGTGTGTGAGGAAATCTGTCACGTGCCATGCACACTGATGTTGTTGTTGTTTTTGTTTAGATGACGTTTAAAAAAATGAAGAAAAATATTTAAATATATTATTTTTCTGTAAACAATTCTGTAGACAATCCCGTGGAATACACATGTGTGTTGCTGAGAGGACCCTGTGATGTCGGCGGATTAGACAAAGGAGCCTCTCGCCAACCAACAGCCCTCAGAAACATAATGGCATAAACACGAGCTTAGCCGCTGCTTAAGTCAACACATTGCGACAAAATCTCAGATCTCAGATACCATGAAATAATTCAAGTTCTCACAAACCAATTCACAACGTCCTTTGTTGTAGAAAGTGTTACCTTCTGCAGGAGTTACCAGACGAAGCGTCCTCTTCTTTTACAGTAGACGACAAAAAGTGATGGTGAAAAATCAGTCTTGTAGTAGTTAATCGATACTTTCTTTATATCTATATATGTGTTAAGTATAAGACAGATTCCCGGGACATCTTGACGTTTAGGTAAGAAAGAGGTCTGACTTGCGAACAGTAAACACGCAAGCCATATATACTTGAAGAAAAAAAAATCCCGTTGCGCCCACTCAGCTGATGCTGCTGGTGCATTGTGGGAAACAGAGTTCATGCGTTTGTTGTCTCGTACGTTTTCGCTCGTTGAGAAACAGCATTTCCCAAGCGCCACCGGCTCTCCACGTGGCTGTTCTTTGTTTGCAAACAAACTGCTGCAGGAAAAAAGTTCAAAACAAGAAGCAACGTCGGTTGAGCAACACGAGCGAAACGATTCCAGTGTTGTGACGTAATCTCCCCCCCCCCCCACACACACTACGATGGCAGTAACAATACATTGTACAGACCCACAGCTTCAGGGATAAATAAGTGCAGGTCACGTGGCCAGCGGGACAAACAACACGCACAACAGCAAACAGCTGGACGTATCCCGGGGATGCGAGAAAATACACCGGATATAACGAGGCCCACAAGGTGGATTTTTTCCAGGTGAGGGGGGAGGGAGAAATACTGAGCTGGAACAAATGACGTCACAACGTCTACACGGTGTTGCAAAATATTCCAGAGAACTTCCGACTGGGTTCCTGATAGTAAGTCGTCTGCCCCACATCACAAGGACAGTTGGCACGGTTTCGTGCGTGCGTGCGGCTGCGGGGGAGGGAAGGGGGGAGGCAAGGGGGGAGGCAACCCTTCACTTATCACACGACAGTAAACTGTATGCAAACATTTCAAAACGTAGCCTACACGCATTCTTTTCATGCCCGGCCGACCATAATAAGATAAGAGAATACTGCCAGAGGCAGCTTGTAATGGGCACCTGCTACTCAACTTCCACAGAACAAAAACACTGTAACCCGAGGCCACGAGTGGGAGTCAGCCCATACAGGGGGGGAGAAAAGGATCAGGCAATAGGTCGAGATCATTAGAACGAGGAAATGGGAAATTATACCAAAATGTCAAAGAAATAGAAGATGTGATATTTGTTGGTGTGATACAGTAGAAAGGGGACAGGGAACAACGGGAGCAGATGTTCAGGCCAAGTGGCGTGTTACCAAACACGGGTCACACGGTTCAGTGCGCTGACTGATGAGGCCCTCTGCCGTTGGGTTGTTGGGCCTGTTACACAGCACATGCAGGGAAAAGTCCCTAAAGTCACGTGTCTGGCTAATCACCACACACACACACACACCCACACACACACACACACACACCTTCGTAAGAGAGCAAAGGGGCTCCTCTCTTTCCTCTTAAATTGTCCAGTCAGTCATTTGTTAATGGACATCCAGTTCAAACAGTGCCGTGCACTTAACAGTTAGTTAAGTGCTTGGTGTGGTCATAAAGGATTCTAGTACATTATATAAGGATCATGATAAATACATGTTTTGGTTGTACAACTTTACTGAAAAAATATGGGAATAAAAATTGAGACATACACTTGAAAAGCAAAGTATTTGAGTGTTTCTTTATGTTCTTGGGGAGAACACCAGCAAACAGTATATTTAAAATAAACACATTCATGTGGAAAAATAAACTTCTTTATTTCTAGTCAAATTAAAAACAGATGCACTTGGGGGGGGGGGAGTTTACTTCTCCTGACTTTCCAGTTCCATCTTTGTTTTTTTTGGAGGGGCCCGAGAAAAACGTGAAAATATCTTCAATATAAATTCCTCTGCAGACGTTTGAGTGATGGAGGGATCGCGAGTTTCCTCATGAAACCGTGAGCTCGCTGAGTCTCTTGTTCTGGTGCAGCCGCTGCATTAGAGAGTCAGAGATCTCTCTGTACCTCAGCCCGTACAGGTATGGCGCCAACGCCCTGGGCAGCAACATGAAAACACACATGTTGACCGTGCAGATCCACACGCGTAGATCCAGACTGATGTTGGTCTTTTGGAACAGGGAGAGCTCCAGGATGAAGACAACGCCGGGGGAAAAGTAGAGCAGCAGGAGAACCCCGTGGACCAGCAGAGTGACCCGGGCCCTGGAGAAGCGGCTCCGCCAGATGCCCTGAGTCCTCGTCACCATGTAGAGACGAATGTAGCAGAAAGAAATGACCACGGCACAAAAGAGAGCGGCCACGAAGAAGTGGATGTTGATCGCCCCTATGTTTTTGACCTGAAGGAAGCCAAGGGAGATGAGGACCAGACACACAGCCAACGTCTCACGCGGATTTTCCCTCTCCACCTCCGTAATGATCATCAGGCTGAGGGGGTAAATGGCCGCCAGCAGCCAAACGCCCAGCAGTATGCAGTGGGTGCGGCCAGGTGAAAGAAGGTTATGGTAGCGCAGAGGCCAGCGGACCGCAGCGTAGGTGTCGACCACCATGAGGGTGATGGTGAAGATGACACAGGTGTAGAGGGCGACGGTGGCGGCTGTGATCAGCTCGCAGACCAGCTCCGGCATTTGAACCCACGCCGCGTTGCAGATCACCGTGGCCAGATTGAGGAGGAGGAAGAGCGTGTCTGCCGCCAGGGTGTTGGCCAACAGCAGGTAGCGTGTCTCCTGGCGCAGGGCACGGGACAGGAAGATGCACGCCAGGAGAACCGGGTTGGCCAGCAAGGTGGCCAGAGTGATGACCGTGGTCGGGATTAGAAAGTAACTGAGGTGCCACCTCAGCAGGCTCTCCTGCCACTCCTGCGTGAGGTTGGCGATGGACGTCGATGACGCCATTTTGTCACTCCAGATGCTCAGGGTGAGGTGTGTTTTTCTTAAGGGTGTGTTGACCACTTCCTCCAGCAGCGTCCTGTTAATGGGGAGACCACACACTTGTATCAACAGAGGAACCACCTTCCAAATGCAAGCACGTAAATGCACACAGATAAGCAGCAAGGCGCTTGAGGGGTGTTTATCGAAACATACTTTAGATTCTAGATCTCAGGGTTGCAGGCTGAACCATGTTGATAGAACTTTTAGAGTGAACCTCTAGGTTATTCATAGGCCGAAGGACTAGGGAAATGAGGGGCCGAATATTCAAATATGCAACCGATGACTGTCAACGATTGTCTCAGTATGTTGCAAATCTATGACAATGCAAATTTGTAAATAATGAACTCAGTGTAACATAAAACATTTCAAGATTTACTTTTAACATAATACTACAACTTTTTTATTATTACAGTTGGCCTGTTTGTTTGGAACAATATTTTGAATTATATCAGACATACATTTCCCTACACATGGGACATCAGCATAAAATATTAAAATAAAAAAAGAATATGGCCTCTGCCACCTCACGGAGGCTTGAAATACCGACAAAAAACAACCGCTTTTTCCGTTCAAACTTTGCACAGACACACCTATTATCGATTCTTACCTTGTGTCCGGTAAAGAAAAACCTTTTGTTTTTTGTCTATTAGGCTTTGCCCTTCTAAAAATCAATGGATGGCTTGGTCGACTCGTCTCCCCTGCTGACCGTATCTGATGTACTTTGTTGACATACAAATGACGTAGGGATGGAGAAAGCTTCAGCCATTCGGCAGTCACATAGCAACGGGGTGGGGTTATCCTTCTCCTATAGCAATCGCTCATGCTGCCACTTCAGTGTTTTCCTGACTACGAGCTGCCGCTTCGAGTCCTTTCAAAACTTTCTATATGAAAACGATCGAAAGATTCACATTTTTTGAGATAAGCGTGTAGGGTTCATCAAGGAATAATTTAAGGGAGGAAATGTCCTCATCTATCAGCCTGCGTCACTATATCTTAAGCACTAGAATTGGAAGGTACAAAAGAGAACTAGCACGTTGTTTTTATTTGAAAAAATCTAAAAGAACTTAATGACAAACTTGAGTTTGACAAAGTTTGTTTATTACCTCGCCACCATACATTTTCATACAATGTCCTGTAGTTCTCTCAGTCCCTCCCACAGTGCTCTGTCATTTTCTCTTCTTCCTGTATCCGCCTTTCCCTCTGGTCTCCTCATCCTCTTCATCCTCCTCTACCTCATCATCGTCGTCACTATCGGCTTCAACGGTCCCATGCAGCCGCTCTTCTTCCTGCCATTCTCTCGCCAGCAGTCTCCTAAACACTTCATATTCCTCGGCTGACGCTTTGGCGACATCCGTGAGGAAGGTGTCCTGGTCAACGTTGAGGATGCTGTCCAGTTTGGGGTTGATGATGATCGTCTGGCCCTTCTTGTCTGGAGTCTGATACAGACCCCTGCGCTCCATAAAACTGTGCCGACTGCGCACCTCGTCCAGGGTGTAACGAAACAACCTGGACTTCACCATCTCCGCCTGTTTGACCCCCATCCGGAAGTAGACGTACTGTGGAGAGATGAAGCGTACATGCGGTTACAAAAATCATCACTTCGGAATGAGCAGACGGCTCTGAACGTCGGCCACCAGAGGGAGCGCTAAAACAGCGTCTAGTTTTCCCACTGAAAAAAGTCAGCATGCATACTGAAACGCTTGGTTCTGATTGACATCGGTGTCCCATATTGCAAGGAAATGTATGGGTTGCTCCCATCTGGGGGAAAGAAAAAGGTAATCACGTTGTGGATGTCAAAGAAGCAGCTACAGAAACAGCTCTCATCATTTCTTGTAAGAGCAAACTTGTTCAACACCAAGTGGAAAGGTAAATAGTGCGTGTTGCATCTTATTAGTGAACTGTCAACTATGTGATGTTTAATCAAGTTAATAAATCTGCAGTCTGCCATTATATTCCACAACACAATGTGATCCGCTGCTTGTTTTCTAGAAAACTATTGATTTCAGGCTAATATTCAGGACACAACTAATAATTATCTCAGATTATAATCCAGTGTACCCCTAGAATCGGTGAATGAACTATAATGCCAACCTGAAACTTGTACTCCAGCTTATCTGTGTTTTCCAGCACTACGGCAGGAGTGTCTCTGAGGATGTCTGTGACCTGCTGGACGGTGAACAGGCACTTCTCTCTGAGGAACATCACCATGCTTTTTACCGTCTTCACGGGCACGGTGATGATCTGGGGGAAGTGGGACACCACCCTCTGAAGACTGCCTAAATGAGGGATGGAAGGAAAACGACTGGTTTGATCATCATCATAAAACATCCATTAACATGAAGTAAATCCATCTGCAGCAACGCAGAAAGATCATCAACTCACCTTCAACTAAACCTAATTTCCGCAAGTTGCCAATGCGCTGCTGAAGCAGTGACTCCCTCACCGTGTAGAGCTCGGGACATTTCTCCAGCAGCTTCAGCACACTGGAAGGATTGAGGCCCAAGACGAACAGAGCGGTGAGGGTTGACAGAGCGTGTTTGCAAGCTGCGCTTCCTCCTCGGAGTTTGGACGTGTCTTCGTAGATCCGCTGAGCCTGGGAGTCTGTGAATCCCATATCCAGCAGGGAGAGGAGGGACAGCTCCGGGTCCCCCGGCTGAAGACGGAGTCCATGGCTTTGATGAGATGCTCTGTTCGTATTCTGGCTGGAACAGAGCGATCTGCACCCGGTGCGTAGAGGCTGGAGGGGACACGTCCCGCACCGCAGTGGACTGAACACGGCGGCTTTCATCACGGTCCAGCGAAGGACCTGTGTGAATAAATACAACATAAATATCTATGCAACACAAACACGAGCTGTGGTAAACAGTCGAGACAGGACGATGGCCGCTGTTATGGGGGAAGGTTAATCACACAACTGGAGTTCGTAGAAGAGCTAAGTTGTTGTTAGCATACGTTAGCATACATGAAGGTTACAAATACCAAAGTATTTGGGCTGACAGTTGTTTTCTCGACTTTTAAAACAAGTTCGCGGGTCACGCATACGTACGATGTAATGACGTTATGTAGAAGCTGGCGAAATACTACTTTATTAAATTGAGATGTACCTGACGTGCAGCAACTCGGGTACCCATGCCTGTCCGTCGTTTATATACGTCCGTCGTTCAGTTTAAACGGAGGATGGGGGATAAAAGGTTCCGCTAGGTGCATTTGACAAGTGAGCGCACCATAAATCTGATATTTCATCGACATTTCTTTAGATGAACACTAAATGTTACTGATCGGTCGAAAGAGTATATATTATATCATAAGACAAGTGGACTATTACTGGTTAACAGAATTAAATTGAGCAAAATCAATTGAGTACAATATTTGTACAAGTTTTTTTTCACAGATTTCCTTTTATTTTTGATATCTGTGGTTCAAATCAGTCACACCAAGCAGCAGCTGCCAACGTTTCTGATACATTACAATGATAGAAACGGCAATGTACATTTTTTAAATGCCCTGCAATTAAATAATTGACAGATTTATCTATGACAAATTTGCCAGTTTTGATTAACAGACAATTCCTTCATAATAAAAAGAGAAGTCAAACATAGTCAGTGAAATATTTATTTCTGTCTAGTAAAATAAATAAAATGTAAATACTTACAATTTTTAATTAAAACACTCAAGATTAAAATCATACACAAAATAAATGATAAAACAATTCCCTTTAGTGTCAATCAAACTAAAGTCTATGTGGTTTCCTCTGAGGTAAACAACAAAGGTTGTGCTCACTTCCTAGTTTTGATGTCAAAGCTAGATCAGATCAGATTTTCATTAAATTAATAAATCCACAGAATAAATAAAATGCATAATATTAAAAAAATATTTAAAAATTTTGAACGGCGTGACAACTAATCCATCACTCTTGTTAGCAAGCTGTCTAAACGCCATGAAAGACACCTGACAACAGTCAGTGGGGTTTGATTTGTTTCTTGGACTAAGACAAGGTGGCCTTTTCTTACTTTGCACCTCGGCCTCCGAGTACTGCTGCACATTAAATGTTGGGTGGCTGGTTGGATACAAAAAAAAAAAAATCACTCTTTAATCCTCATGGAGATATTTCTGAAGCTCTGTTTCCAAGGCCACCATTGACAGACAATCATCTTCTTCATCGTCATCATCAGGAAGAGTCTCGTCATGTTCATCTGGGAACAAGCGCTGCTCGATGAAAGCCTTGGGACTGGGCTCCAGGTGCTGTGGTGAGTCTGTTACAATGAGTGAAGGTATGCGTGAGCTGGGACGGACTTTAATTTGAAAAACAGATTCAACACGTTCTGAGTGTAAAAGAATACTTACAGTACATCTGAGTGGGAGGGACCACCTCTGACCAGCTGTACTCTGCCAGTGAAATGGGCTGGCTGATCCAGGACTGCAGCAGCAGCTGGTCCAGAGTCATTCTCTGAGCGGGATCAGGGTGCAGCAGCCCGCTCAACACAGCATGCAGCTCTGAGAGGGAACACAGAGACATTTCAGCGAGGAAGAAGAATGTTTGTACAGACTGAAAGGGTCATTTCTAGGAGGACATATTAGGGCGACTGTAGTGTGCAGCACCATTGTTACGAAAACAAAAATAGTCTTTGTTTCTTTTTCTGAAAGAACCACGTTGCTTCACTTCAAACGCGGTGAAATTTAAATTTGTGAGTTCTACCTTTGGCTTAAACTTTGTTCTCTATCATCTTACTAAATCTTTAATTTGCCTAATACGTTGTTTTGGTGGCTAGGTAGTTATCATACTTGTCTTTGCCTACAGTTGCCCTAATACACCGTTATAAGGTTTTAAAGTGAAAACCACAGCACCACGGGAGAACAGCAGTGTACCTGGAGAGACGCGGAACGGGAGCTTGAGTTTGGCGTCCAGGATCTCATCAACGCCACAGAAAGGGTTCTCACTAAATAGCAGAGTGTACAGCAACACACCAAGAGACCACATCTCCAGCTCTGGACCCTCATAGCTACAACCAAGGACACACAAAACAAATATGAAAACAAGCGTGGCAAAATGGAAAACACGACCCCCGTTAATGGCCCGGTGGATTTAGTGCCTGTGTACACTTGTCGTGTGTCTGTTACTTTACAATTGGTATGCGCTTAAAGCTCCATATGCTTTAATTGTACATTGTAAAGGTTAATGAGTCATTAATGTTATTCTGTGCTTTGACCTAGATTCTGTTTTCATGCTTTTAGATGCCGGCACAATCACAAACACGCCGTTTTAAACTAAACCGTTGATAAAAGCAACATGAAAGGTCACATTTGTTGGAACAAATATCCCTGGTTGTGGTCGGCTGTTATGTACGTACGGATTTCCCCGAAGCACTTCCGGGGAACAGTACTCCAATGTGCCGCAGAAATTGTAAAAGAGCTTCTTGGGAGCCATCATGGCAGCAGAGCCAAAGTCGATCAGTCGAATGTGGAAACTTTTGTCAATGATGATGTTCTCGTCTTTTATGTCCCTGTGAAGGATGTTTTTAGTCCTCAAATAGAAGACAGCGGCCACCAGCTGGGAAGAGACATTAACCTCTAGTTTAGTTGAATGAACGCTTCTTAATTCAGAGCCAGTGCTCCGCTTACATGTACGTACCTGTCTATAGATGTAGCTGGCTAAGGGCTCATCCAGCCTTGGCTGCATGTCTATGAACTCAAACAGGTCCAAGTCATCTCCATTTTTCTCCATCACCATCTGGAAGTAACTCCCATTCTCAAACACCTCCAGCACCTGGTGGCACACACAGTATAGCATGAGCTAAACGATTAAGCATTGCAATTGAAGGTTAAAAAGGCTTAAAGGCTTCATGCCAGGGTACCTTGACTATGTTGTGGTGCTGTACTCTTGTCAGTATGGCAATCTCCTGGCTGACTTGTCCCAGCATGGGATCATCTACCCAGCAGTCCTTTATTATCCTGGCCTTCTTAATGAACTTCACTATCACCTGCAAATTAAAAATAAACCACTGTCACAACAATCATATCACCTTTTCAAATCATGTGATCCATCTTAGTTTACTATAAAGTTACATTATGGTCAATATTTCTGAAAAAGAAATCACTGCATGTCGTATATACAAGAAGAATGTGATACGTTTCTGCAATAACAGAATTATTTTCTTACATCTGTTCCATCAGAGCGCCTTATCGCTTTCCAGACAAAACCAAAGGCTCCTCTGCCCACAGCTTTGATAGGCTGGTAGTCTTCTTCAAACTGTCCGTCACAGGCTCGAGACTGCTCGAGATCCATGGTGGAGCGTAATACCTCCCCGTGACTGGCGTCACCAATCCTCTAAAGGACCAGAAGAGTACAGGATGACAACTTGAAGGCAAAACAACTAATTTCACATAGTGATAAAACATACAAACTGCCATAGCAACTCAGTATCACAATATATATATTTAACTATTTACTCCCACCAACCTCTCCTAAACTGCCGTCGGACTGGTTGTGCAATGGCCGACCTGTATGCAGCATTGCCCCCTGCAGGCCTGGCCTACTCATCCACACACAGATCACGGCGGTGCCATCAGGCCGGTTAATCCTGCACACATCGCACTGCACATCTGGAGAGAACAATAATGTACTGTTTAAATATTGTCTTTTTCATAACACCGTGTGTAGAATTTTGGAGGAAAGAACAACAGTAGCGGCAGTACCAACCTAGTCTGGTGCCGTCTCTGTGGTAGGCGCTTCCTTCGTAGCGGCCCTCCTGTATCTGTGTAGAGTCTGCGGATGGGTTTTGTCCATTCGCCTTCTGTTTCTTAGGAGTAGACGTGGCAGGAATGTCCGTCATTGACTGAATCCCGCCGTTCTCTGCCATGCAGAACTCTCGGCTCTTTTCTTTTTGGATGGAAGAAAGCGCGGCCCACTGATCCTGGTCGCACTGGTTCTTTTCCACTGGCTCTTCCCTTGAGCTTCTGGCCTCCACACCGGCGTTCCCACTCCCAGCTTCCTGGTCAGACCCAACCACGCACGTGGAGGGCGTACGCAGCAGCTCAGCGGTGTCGCAGGACGTCATGGAGCGTTGGTTGTCGTCGTTGCCTCCTCTGCCACTGAGAACCTCTATGCTGCGGCTCAGATCTAGGTCGGCTAGGGCCCGGGTCACCACATCACCATCGCTGTTAATGTCCAGGAAACAGCTGGCTGAGTGCACCACGTGTGCTGAGCAAGAATGCTCTGCCAGGCCTGGATCAGAACCACCATTGCCGGCAAACCTTTCACAGAAGCCAGACGACGACCTGGGGAATTGAGTTTCAATAAACCGAGGACCAAGAAGAACAACTGATGGCAAGAGGTCGAATGGTAAATCTTTCAAAGACAAAAACAAATCAAGCTTGCATTTACGACGTTTAGTGCAGCACCACATTCGAGTCCCTAAGAACTCTGAGGCTACTACCTGCATATCTAAGTGATGCACGCGAAAGGCTACTCAGTCCAAATAGGTGCTGTGTTATTACAATGAGGTTGTCACAGGAGGTTAGAATCATTAGCTATGAAAAATAATACAACTACATTTGAGCAAAATGTCCAGCCACAAGTAGTCAGCCTAAGCAATTTGAAGGCACTGAAATAAAATAGATTACATCTCTGCAGTGATTGCAGTGTCAATTTATTTTTGTGTACCCTCGGTAATGGAAATAACAGATTGGCTGTCTAAGCAATTACTTGTGTGATTTGGTGTTTTCATGCAAATAAAGTCAAAGCCAGTAACATATTTTGGTGCCAGAATGTAAACGAATGGTCTCTTGAGACACTGAATTGCAACATGTGATTCTACCCACCTGCTCCCCAGTGAGATGACCTCAAAGCTGGAGTCTTGGAGGACGGAGGCACATGAGCAAGGGGCTTTGCCTCTGTCAGGAGTGGTCTCACCCTGCCTGCCAACAGCATATCCGTTCTGAGTGGCAGTGTCTAAAAAAAGTTTTAAAAGAATGCCTTTGTTTACTGTAAACATTAAATCTTAACACATAACTTGTGTGCATTTTGTTTGAGGTGACAGTTTCAGTACCACTTCCAATATATAGCTCAGTTTAGTGTTGAGGTTTCAAGGATTGACTACATGAACTGAAACTACAAGTCGCCTCATACCTGAGATAACCCTGACGGCAGGTAGATTGCTTTTATGAACTTCATCGCCTAACTGCTGGTTACGGCGTGGTGGACCAGTGGCCACCAGGCAGTACGTCTCATCTTCTGGAGGTTCCACCAAGGCAAATGTCTTGAGGAGAGCCTCAGTGGTGTCAGCAGCGTCCAGCTGGCCGGTGCAGAGAGCCACCTGGGCGGCCTCCTCCAACAGCTCCGTAGTGTCATCAGCCCTGAGGAAAGATGAGCTGGATTTTAATGCCAGTTAGGATCAACTAACAATGTAGTGATCATGCTATAAAAAGGCATCTTGTACTATATAGCTTTCAAAACTAATTTTGTGATCAGACGTGTGTTAGTAGAGAATATTAACCTCCACTAAAAGTCCCTAATGACTTATTTTCCCTCCTATGAGAGTGAAGATACATGTACCGCTCACTCAACTTCTTCTAACTGCTATACTAAATCAACATAACTGTTGACAGTGAAAAACACACAAAAACGTGGTCACTTAATTCCTGCTTGTATATAACCAACTTCACAATCAAGGAGTTTGCAAGCCTTCTGAAAACTCACAGTTGATGAAAAGGACACAGGGGTTGCTGCTTACATGACTACTCTTGTGGAGGTGACAGTAGGAGGAGCGAGTGTCGATAAAGCGCTGCCCGGTTTCTCCAGCCGGCTGCTGGTTCCAGTGAAGATTCGGCCTCTCCCTGTGGACATTTTTCCCAGAACAGCCTGATGCACCATGGACATATGACCAGCCACCAGTGAGGACGGGTCTACGGATTGAAGGTAAATATTACACAACACACTTTAAACAAATAGGACTGATTGACTCGTTAGAATAGATGTCCACAACAGAAACAAATGAATAGTATAACAGCAAAGCAGCAGAACTGATATTAATCGATACCTTTGTGAGGTGTGTATGGTAAAAGGGCCTGTTTACACAGATATGACACATTTATTTATTTCTTTGTGCCATTGTTTTGGAGGTTTGACACTGTGCCCCCCCAACTTCACTCAGACACATCACTTCAAATGGGTTGTGAAAAGACTCCCATCTGGTACACACGTCACAATTGCATACAACGCTCACCGTATTTCTCTGACATTTTGAATGAGGCTCTACTTTTATCCACCTCTGCTTGAGAGTCAGAGAAGGGGCCGGCCTTTTTCTCCGTGTCAGACATCCATCCGTAGAAACCAGGCATCAGGAAAGTGACACTCTGTCGGGGACCAAGCAGTGAGGCAGAAGTGAGAGTCGGCAAAGGCCGTCGATGGAAAAACAACCTGCTTCAGCCGGCCGTCTCGGCTGACCTTTGACAGGAGCTCGTCCTGGTCGTAGCCAAACAGACTGAGGGCCAGGCGGTTGTGGATGTGGCAGATGGAGCCGTCAGGGCGGAGCAGGAGGAGACCGCTCAGAGGAGCAAACACCCACACTGCTCCAGAGTACTCCAGTTCAGGCCTGGGGGAGAGGACAGTGCTACCCCCTTTCACTCCTGCAAGGGGCCAGACACACATTGCAAAAGCAGATTGGTTATTACATGATAGTGCAAGATGAGGAACATATATTGAGGTGCATAATTAAACATTGTTTGTTGTGGGGGTATTCATGAAAAGGTATTTTATTTTGACTCCGCCGACAGAACAGCTACTGAATTTCACTCCGTCTATCATATTAATAAAACATTTAAGAGTTTGGAATCATTGTTGGGTTCAAAAGAGGAGGTTCAAAAGATCCATTTCTACCAAATAGGTCTTTAGCGAAAAGCTCCAAAAATCACAAAGGTTAATATTTCATGAGCTAACAAAACCACCCCAGCTTTGGCTTTGTGTCAGTGCAGCTTTCCAATTCAAGGTTTTTATTTCCAAATGGTTTATTTAGCTCGAGAGGAACGTCCTCAACCCCTTTAAGGAACAAGGTTTAGGATTATGGGGGATTTATTCACATAAACCGAATTATGATGTTTTCATGAGTGAATGATCAACAGAAAAAAAGGGTTTTATTACTTTAAAATGAACCATTTATATTGGCAAAGAAAACAGGGTCTTCATTGCCTTTAGCGCAAGGTTATGTTTATGTATGTTGTGTGTATTTTTCCTATCATGAAAGACACAGGAGTGTGTTCTGCAAGGTGTTCAGTGTTTGGGCAGCCTAACAGACGGATAATGCATCAGTTTCTCCAAAATAATAGTGACTTTATTAATCCCTCCTTGACATAGCATATATAATATTAAAAAAATACCTTACCAGGGCATGGTTCGTCAGGGTTTAAGCCGTTTGACTTGCACACAGAGGAGTCGGGCCGACCGCTCTGCTGGTTTTCCTCTGCGTCGGATTGTTCAAGACTACCTGTTGCCCAGGTGCAACCAGTCCCACTGTTGTGACGTTGGTTCCCCCCACATACTACTGCCCCCTTAAGTTTGACACACAGTGGGACTGATGCACCCCCTCTGCTTTTACCACAAACTCTCTGAATCCGCAGCATCTGAAAGAAGGAAAGAAATGCAAAGACGACAGACTTAGACAAGTACTGAAGTTCAAAAGTTTTCTGTCCAAGAAGTATATTGGTAAATAGGCATGTGAAGCAAAGCTTAAGAGAGGAGGCCGTTCTTTAGCTGAGTGGGACAGTTTTGGTTGTGAAGTGTGCTTACTTTGGGCAATGCATTACTGTGGAGGGGGATTTGTAAGGAGGGTATTAGCTCCTTCACAGACACCCCTTTTAACTCGTCGGGATGTTGGTATCCATGGAGATGACTAAACGCCAAGTCACAGGTTAGGATATTACCCTAGAAAGAATAGTGTTTTAATAAATAGGTAATTGAAGAAAGAAGGCATTCTCATAAAAGAAAAGAAAAAGATAAAATCACACTGCCACGGCTGTTAAGTGATGAAATACTTACGTCTTGTGTAAAAGACAGAAAGGCTGAAACCCTTTCCACAACTTCCATCATGACGAGCCAGTGCTCTTCGTTTTGTGAGCATCTTTGCGTACACACTGACACTGTCAACTCTCCAGCTGATGTCACAACATCCATCTACAGAAAGAGGGGAACTTTAAAAAAACACAACGAACAAATCTTTTATTTGAACGTTTGGTGGAGGTTAGTCAGCATTTTTCATACCACTTTTCCAGACACAGCCACAACGGTTCCATCCGTCAGGGGAATATCTTCTTCCAATGCTTCTTCCAGGACCTGACTGGTTTTCTTCAAGATGGAAAGCAGCTTTTTTCCAATAACCTCATTGCGGGTGCACTCTAACAGCTTGCAGGCCTGTTCGTTTGCAGACACGATCTGAAAAAGTGAGATAAGAAGCACATTTACAGTACAAGCTTAGTGGCAATAATGTACGACCAATTCTGCTCAGTCAAAACTGCTCTCATTAAAAGTGCAACTTTAGATATTTTTCGAGAAGGATATTAAACCCATTTTCTGTGTTTAACTGACTAACACAGGCAGCAATTTCTGAAATTGATTCAGTATTGAGTGAGAGCGCTGCAGAGGGAAGCAGCTTACTTATATAATACCAAAGTGACAGTGTCTGAAATTATGCCTTAATGCTGGACCAGTTTCAATAGTTGTTGTCCCCCATAGAAAACCCTTAAGTGGACAAACAGTACCTCTCTGCTTTTATGGTCGATTGTAAGAAAAGCTTTGTTTGGGTTGAGGGTGGACGCAGATCCAGAGAGCCCAAAGTCCTCAGAGATCAGCTGACAAAACAAGCTTTCCTCTTTATCCAGCACAGTGGACGGATGCGGCAAGGAAACAGCAGAGACTTTGGAGCCACAAATTAAACTGGGAATTTTCAGATTTCTTGGCCCTACAGACGTGCAAATATCGGAAAATCCACCTGGGAAAAGGGGGGAAAAAAGAAGAATCGATGACAGACCTAAGAATTATGAATATAAAAATAACAGATAAAATATGGTCATCAGTCATCTCACTTTCATCAAAAGAAGCCAGCCATTAATAATTTAGACTTCAGAGTGGATTATTTGTATGTTGACGGTTTAATCGTGTCAGCTCTACTCTCCATCACAACCAGGTGTGTTACTCTCACCGCTCAAGGAGCCAGGATCGTAGTAGCGACGCTGCAGCTCCAACAGGCTCTTCTTGTACAACGGTCTCCGAGTACATGGGTAGGACTTGTTGAGGTCCATGTCCTCCTCCAGGAGATCACAGTCGAGGTCGGGCACCACACAAATAGTGTCTCCTTTGACTCTGTCGCTCTGGCTCCCCGCAATATGAGCTTCGATCGACAGCGACATGGCTGTGGGTTGTATAGACAATTCTTTAGAGAGGATTAGTGGGTTGCAGCATTGTAACAATAGTGCATGTTCACTATTGAATGCGTGCGCAGATTAGAGCGTGTTCATCTGACGTGAAGAGACACAATGTTTTATTCAGAATAACATGGTAACATTAGTTTATCGGTTCTTGGCACGCGATTTGAAGATTACGAGGGGAAACAACTCTCACCACAGGTCGGAGAAAGAAACCGTGCGGTCTGTCTTTGACAAGGGAACAGCAGTTTCTGTTGACGCTTGTTGACAAGGTAACTAACGCTTCCTATTTCCGGCTAACTGGTGTTAGCCGCCTGCTAGCGGAAACGTTACCGCCGCTACAAACAAAACCTGCTTAGACGCGCGCTGTTTGCTTCGTAAATTATAGTGTTGCCGGGGCAATTTCAACGACTTTTAGTCCGGGATTACGTTACCGAGTCATTCGCACCACTCTGACAACATACCAGCAGGTTAGGGAGGGGAAAACAGAAGGTTTGTTGTAAACTGTGTCACTTTTTCCAGCGGTAGCTTTTGTAAATCGCGGGCTCACGGGCGGCAGCCGAGTAGATCCTAGGAAGTCCTCCGCAGCCAATCAAACATAGGGTCAATAAATAACCGCCCCTCATTGGATGATTTGACGGAAGCGCCCGCCTTTGTTTCCATGGGAACCATGTTACAAAAGAGATCATACAAATATTAAATATATTAAAAAGAGTAAATATATTCTTACTTCACTAGTAAAAACAATTTAAATATGTATTTTATTATAAAACAGGAGGACACAGACAAACCCCAACAGCTAACAGCAGTAACGACAGTTTCAAGTCACGGTTGTAGTTGTTTTACGGAGATTTTGCAAACAATGTGTCTACTCTAGCAGTGTTATTTCAATTCTTAAAGCATCCATAACAATAATAGAAAAATCACTATAAATCTTCTAAAACATACTACATGAGAATTATAAGCTCTTTATGTTTATCTACAAATCTGATGAAGGACAGTGAAATACACGTTTTAACTGACATAACAACTATGTAGGTTTAAACTGGCATCTGAGAGAAGTTGGATAAGAGTTACAGGTGTAATGGCTGCAGGGGTAAATATGTTTTTCTTTTTTCTCTTTCTTAATTAGCGACATGGCATTGCTTCTTAAATTACAAAGCTCTCTCTCGGGAGGATCTCACCAACTTTGATGAGACAAATGCTCTTGCCACAGCACAAATAATTCAGACATTATCCTTACTGATAAAATTCTGCTTAATTAAAAAACGGGACACAACAGAGAAGTACACCATATTGTACTTTTGAATAAGTGAAAACGAAAATAATTACAACATGTAATGAAAAATTCACGTAGCTGCTTAATGAGGATAATATACATAATAGTCAGTACTTATGCATTGAAACATATTTTAGTTACTTTTTGAACTCTTGGTATTTGCAACATTGTGAGCAGAATTTCACTTAATCCAATACTGAAATAATTAATCTCGTTGACAGGCCAGCTTCCGCTGCCAAAGGAAATGTAAACATGTCATCCAGTCTGCTGAGATCCAATTCCACACGTCATCATTGATTGTTTTTCTTCACATCAAAAACATCTAGCAACGTTAATTCATGTAACATTGGGTACATGTTAATAAACCATCTATGAACTTTCACCATTAATCTAATCTCATGATTCTTTGAATGTGTGGTTCAGCGGCTTGTTGGAGCACACAACACAATTTTGCTGCCGAAATCATCTCCCTGGACCTTCTAGCTGTCCTCCAGCCCGGCTGTAGCATGCATGTTTTGTTAGTAGCTCAGACTACAATAATGAGTACTGGTAGGTATTCATACAGAGAAGGAGCCAAGTGGAACACTTTACACAGTCACATACAGTCAGACGCGTACACAAGCAAAGTTGGACACTCGCTAATGGTGCCATGGCTGTGAGAAAGGAGCTTTGATAAGCTTTTGGAGCATAGTTCACTAAAACACTGTCCATTTTAATGCTGGTAGTCCTTTTTACTGTGAGGGCGATTTCCCAGTATTTGATCCACTTCTGAAGCAATGCCTGCTGTCATTTTTGGAATTACCTGCACGGTGCACAACACAGAGAAACCGGTCAATGCTATTGAGTAGACCAAATACTTGATAGTTATTCAGTTACATTCAGGCTCAGGAAATACATTCATACCTGAATGGCACCCAGGTTCTCTGTCAGCTGGATCGGATTGGAGGATCCCAGCAGCACTGAGCTCACTCCCTCGTTCCTCAGACACCAGGCTAAAGATCGGAGGAGTTTTTACAGCTGTTAATTTAGCATCACGGTATCAGACAGTACGAAGAGAAACAGGGATTTGCTTGTGAACAATATTTTCTTTGTTTACTCCCACAGGAATGGGAAGTTGGGGGTGTGAGGACGTCCTTACCTATGGCTAGCTGCGGCAAAGTACATCCAAGCTTTTCCGCAACATAAGTCAGTTCCTTTAGCTTGGCTTGTTGTTTCCTCCCATCCTCACTCAGTATTTTCTCCCTCAACCATTGGTATGGCTGGAGGAGCGGAACAAGAGTAAGAATTACTTTAGCCTGGCAGAAATAATGTGAACCACATCATGTTTAATGGCTAGCTTTTTGGACACTAGTCAAACGACATATTATATAACCAGGCAGGTGCACCGAAGAAATCTAAACTTTACCTTCATGGAGGCCCTGGAGGACTCAGGGACGCCATTCTCGTATTTCCCAGTGATAATTCCACAGGCCAAAGGTGACCACGACACCACACCCACACCTGAGACAGAAGAAGAGCCACTGAGCAACAGGCTACACAATCTATTGCAGCCATGAATCCATTCACTTACGAAGCTTGACATGCGAAAGTACACACATACCTATCTTATGATACAGCTCTGGCAGCTGAGTTTCCACTTTGTCCCTCTGGAAGAAGTGATACTCTGCCTGCTCACACACTGGTGGAATTAGATTAAACTGCCTGGCCACCGAATATGCTTCCTAATTGAATATGAAGAGGCAATGAAAAGAAACAGCAAAAATGTTAATTAGATGTTCAACCCCCCCTTGCTGCTCTTTGTATGTCATGTTTCTATATCTGATCATTCTGGATTTCAATAGCGCTTTCAAAAACACAAAGAAGTTGTGATAGCTTCAGTAGTGTGAACGAAAGGACATTTACATAAACTAGAAAATCCCCCACTGTGCTCTATGGGTCACATGTGAGGTTGTCTTGCTGATATCACCTTCAATTACATTTTCCCCACTTTCTGAAACCATTCTGGAAGATATCGGACTTTGTAAATGCTTTGTATTGAATTTAAAAAGAAACTATTTCCAGCCTTAAATGAAACCGGGTTTGTTCGTCTCGTGTAGATTTTTTTATTTCCTAATCTTGTGTGGCTTGCTAGGATATAAAGCAATGCAATCTCCATCGCTCACCATGATTTCCATTGCAGACCACCGCGATGTCCCCCAGTACATGGACATCCCCTGGTTGATCACATGTGTCATCGACCTCACTATCTCTGTTAAAAAAGCAGATATGGACACTGTCAGTAATCAGTGGATATCTCAACAATATTTGATATAAGCTGTAGGAAAAAACCTTATTCATATTACTCTTCTTTTTAGCATTTTTGGATTATATACACTCAAAAAAGCATTTTTAGATTCAATTGATATTTTTCTCAAAAAATAATAGAGTTCTCATAAAAGTAGATTGCAAGAAATTCAGAAAAGCCTTGATATAAAACTAGAACAGTGAGGACCGTAAAACCAAAGATGCTGCTTGAAAGGCTCCTTGTGAGAAAAGCCTGCGTCCTTTTAAACTCGTGTACAAGCAGATATTCTTTGCAGGGATCGTACAGCTTCACGTGGCCAAAGGGGTTGAATGAAACAACATTCTGACCGACCTTGGCAGAATGTTGTTTGTGCAGTTGAAAAAAATCCAAGTTACAGTCTTAGGGGCTGCAATCCGCCACAGTGGCCTTTGGTGGTCTCTGTAGGTTATTTGAGCCTGGGTAGGTTATGGTGGGTGGAATAGTGGTCAACCAAAATCATATTTAATAAGAACTGCTGTAATGTTCTTTCTCAAAGGAGCCTTTAACCGAGGCCATCTCACATCTCAGGAGAGGATACTGTTATTATTTTGAATGTGTGCCTTGTGTGCTGTGCACAAACTGTCCATTTACTGAAGAAAACAACAACCAGATGAAAAAGAAATTAATGTGATCACTTATGTCTTTAATTGCGTGCTTTTGTGTGCCGTTGTACTTAGAATGCATTAATGAAACATCTGCTTCATTAAAGCGGTGAATGTAAAATGTGAAGAGGAGAGACTGAGAATGAGGATGAAGAGATGAGGCTAGTGTGTAATTAAAAAAAAAAGAGTGTGAGTGATTCCTTTTCCTCAGCAGATCTCTCTGTGGGCCAAACTGTAGCTCAGTGAGACAGAAAGCCAGCGTGTGTCTGTGGTGGTGTGGGTGAAGCAAGTGGGAGGGTGGCAGGATAACAGCGCATCTGCTCCTCGAGGGAGGGACGGAGCGATGTATAAGGACGAAGGCAAAAATTGCAAGTTGTAAAAGCTCACAGCTGTGAGAACTCATTGGCAAGTTTATCCAAATCAACCACCGTGCAGCCGACTGGCCACTCTGAACATAAATAGTCTTCTAACAACAGATGCTCACACACGGAGCAACGTGCTGGGGTGAGATATCCAGCGATCACCATCAACACCCCACTCACATGAAGCCACCGCGCGTGTTGGATGATGTGGGGGGAAAGAGAGGTTATGAAAAACATGGAGGGTATTAGTATGCTCCTTAATGCGTGAGATAGGTGGAGAATTAGGATATAAATATCTCTACCACTGCTCCATATTCACTATTTAACTATTCACTATTTATTGGGACAAACACGCAAGTCATGTGTTGTATGGTAAAGATAACAAAAAATAACCACATTGTTGAGTAATTAAGGCTACAATTAAAGCTGTAAAGAGAATTATGTTTTGGACTAGTGTTTGATATTGTTGAAATGAATTGTATTTCTGTGTGAGTACATGCATGCAATGCATTCCATCTGCGTGTTGAATGCAAATGTACCAAAAACTGCAACTATGAGCCCGTCTTTGAGACTTCTCACACAAGCAACACTGTCCTGAGTCATTTGGTCAAGTTCAACCAGCAGGCATCACATTGCCCTTCTGCAGAGTGAAGATAGGAGAGTGGAATAAATTGTTGAGCCGATGTCCATATTTGTCCAGTAGTGCATATTTTGAAGATAATATTTACGGGTCGGCGATCAATATGTCACAGCACAGGAGCTTAGCTTGGTTTTATATTCGTGGGAAAGACGTTTTTGAATGTGGAGCTCAAAGGAAGATAAGTATTGAGCTGCTGAGTGGGTGAAAAGATTCTCCATGCTGTTGCTGAACGTTTGAGCATCGTGGGGACATCCGTGCCCTTGAAGTAAAGCCAAAGCCATGTGTTCAGTATGCTGTGGCAGTAGCATTTCATTTGTTCTTGGCCGGAGGGCCTTCTACAAAGTCTATTTATTGATGCCATGTCTGATCTTTTCCTCCGCCTGTAAATCCCACTCTTTATTCACTCTGTCCGCAGGATTTCCTTATTAAGTTGAGTGAATGGATGCAATTCGCTCTGTCAAATAAAATATGTGGACGAGCGACTGGAAACCAACATTGAACTGAGATGCAGGCAGTTCATTCGGCAGGCCATGGGATGCCGATTAAAACAATGAGCTGACAACGGCACTGATGCTCCTCCTGGAGGCACATATGTGCTACAATGTGAGAACTTTGCAAACTACAGCAGAGGACATTGAGGCTAGGCCTTAAACTGCTATACATTCTCATCACTATGCAGGAGCTGCAACAATAAAGAACAGCGGTGGGCTCAGTCCAGGAAAGGAAGGTGGACGTTGGACATTCACGAGAAAGGTTGGGCATATTGGACCGGATATAAACCAAGAGTCTAGAGAGAGTAGGGGGATGAGGAAGAGTTACACAACAAATAGGAAGGCTGGACGGTACAAGTTAGTGGTGATGGTAACAAAGCCAGACTATGCAGCCATGACATCACGTTTTTTGTCCCCAAGGGGACACGCGTTGTCTCACACAGTCAGAAGAAGTTAAAGTCACGAGAACAACGTACAAAAACAATTTCCACCCGAATGTGTGCAAAAACACACCCACCCACCTGTTAGTAATCTTAACATCCTTTGTTTATTGGAGTAAGGTTTTTTTTTTTAAAGTTTCAGCAACATGTGTCTAAGTGAATTCCTATTTTAGAAATGTACATAACAAGTCCAATGAACTATGGGGGTCCCGTGTTTTTGCATGTTCGCACAATTACTTTGAATAGTCTCCAGGAGAAGCGAGATGAGGAAGTCTTCATTTGTGCATCTACATCCACTCCTTACTCTTGGTAAGTATGAAGAAGAGGTGGACAATCTTCTACAAGGATTAATGGAATAACCGTGTGGCACAGCTGCGGAAAGGAAAACAGCCCATCTGTCTTAATGCCTGTCAGTGTTTGTGCGTTTTTATACATTCATGTGCAACTTTGATTATTCTGACGCACTCTCGATCCACGAATCCATCGTTCACGTTAGATTTCTCTACATTAGTTGTCAATGGTGAATTGACGGGTAACTAATGTTGGACGGAGGTGGCTGCTGGCCGTGCCTGGCGGGCCAACGTACAACCAGCGACAGAAAAGCCCCGGGGAGAATGAGCGTGGCGGATTGACCTTCCACTGTCAGCTGGCTCACAGCGGAGGAAGCATTGGTGGCAAAGCGGAAGGACTGGGAAGTGTTTTTGAGGGACCAGTGGGACTCCATCCTTGGGGCCTAATTTAAGCTGTGGATGAGCGTTAGGACTGAATAAAAAAAGGGGCCCAAGTATCAGTGATGTTATGAAGGAGAGGTAATAGAGAAAATAAATAATGGCCCTTGTTACGTGTGTGTGAAAGGCAGCACTTGAAGGAATGGTGCGCACAGTAGGGCTTGTGTCCAGTGAGACCAACCCCAAAATACACCAGGTTCCCCTTGGGGAGGAGGGGGGGCGGGGCCATAAACCTGCTTCTCATGAACCAGGAAGGCTGGGAGCGTGTGTGGCTCAGAGACCCTGTTGGAAACTAGTGATCCCCCAGAGATGGAGGGGAAAAGAGAGGTAGAGCGCCGATCCCAAATAGAGAATGAGAGATGAGGCAAGATTGTCAGAATACTAGAAATGTGTGTGTGTGTGTGTGTGTGTGTGTGTGTGTGTGTGTGTGGCAGACACACACACACACAAAGAAAAACCCCTTCGGTCAAAGGCAAAGGTCACCAGGCCAGCAGCCTGTGTTTCTCCCCATCTCATGTCACGGGACAGCATGCATTGTCCCTACTGCCCCCTGGGGTCTCGACAACAACCACTCACCCTCCATGGGGGTGTTGCTGTCTGGCCGGTTGGCAAAAACCACATCCACATACTCAAGCTGCATCCTCTGGAGAGAACTCCTTAAACCTGCAATGAGAGGAGAGAAGAGGAGAGAAGATGTCCAAGAAAGTGACATTTGTTATTTTTGTTATCTATTTGTTGTACTGCTGGAATTTAACCTTAAATATTTCTAATTTCCAGAAGGATAATTTGACACCCTTACAAATCAGAATGGAACAAAGCCCGAATAAGCACTGAGCGTCACCCTCTGCTGATGAATACTCCCAAATGATGGTGTCAAGCATACCTAAAGGGACAATGGTTTTATGCCACCGTGTATTGTGAACATTACATTACTGATCTTTGCTGTTTTTAAAAAATGATGATACCCAGTTCAGAGCAACAATATACAAAAACAGAAACATTTCTTCAAGTGTGCTGGTTAAATCTTGATATTTAAACCAAGGCAGCTGATGAAAGGACAAAAAAGGTGAGGAAGATCCTGAAGGGATTTAAAGTCAACGTGATCGTAAACATGGCAAAGTGACAGTTGACCACATGTGACTCGAGGCCCGCCAGCTGCATCTCGGCTCGGCCATCTTTCAATCCAGCCCGCAAGCGAATCTTATTCGTCATAGTCTGTTTTACCGAGCTGGAGCGATGGTTATGGGATCACGAGTCTTAGTCAAAAAGAGATGATGTTATGAGGTTAATTAATGTAGAGCCCAGTTAACATATCTCCTGAAAAGACTATCTATAGAAAAAATGCCCTGCATCTAAGCAAACTTGAATCCTCATTATGTAAATAAATGTTTTGACAGGTGGTGGAGGAACCAAAAAACCTAAAGCTGGATGAGGCTGACAAGAAAGACGAGGGGGATGAGAGAAAAGGTCGCGCTCAATTCTTTCCCTCGCGCTCGGCATTTTGAGACCCTGTACGCCGAGCGGAGGATAAGCGATGGCAACAACCTATTGTGTGCAGATCAGTTCCCCATTCACACGCGGGGGAAGACCTGATGAAAGATGAGAAGTGAACAGAGGAGACTGTCACAAATAAGGACAGCAGGGTGGAAGAGAGACAAGGAAAAAGACACTTGTGCGCTCTGGAGGACGTGAGTTTGCGTAGCAGATTAGTGCCGGAGGCTTCATCGTTGCCAGCTAATCCCACTTGAGAGTTTTGCTCCGCTTCGAACCATTTATTCAGGTATACGCTCTCCCATGATCCCAGAAACACCCACTAGCCATCAGGGATCCTAATGGGAGCCTGCACCGTCATGGCTAACGCTGTCTGCTGCCTCCTGGATTAGCTGGAATTTCCTCGCTGTGAAGGAAGTCTATTTTTGGAGCTGAGAAAAAATGTTGTGATGTTTGTACCACAAAGCTGTTCTACTGGCATCTGCACTGAATACTGCATTGCATTAAGGGTCCTGCAGAAGTCTATTTGAAATAATCAATGACTTTCTTTCTGTCCTGAGAGTAAAATGGTAAACACACAAGCCGGTGTCTACTGAGGGACTTTGACTTCTCCTCGTACCCCAGAGTACCTCAGTGATGCTCTCTGCCATCGAACATTTGGTTCGACCCCCCCATCACGTCACTGACTGGCCTGTGGAGGGATGCACAACCAGTAGTCGGGATGATGGTCTCCCCCAGACTATTTGTTACCCTAAGGTGACATGTGCCAAACCTGCAGACACACTGCACCTTTCTCTAACAGATGGCCCCTATCATCTGGACTGGCTTTGTTTTGGGGGGGCAGAGGCTGCTGTGAATGTTAATAACTTTGGAGGGAGCTGAGTCACTGCAGAGGGTGCATTGCGCTGATGACCAATAGGCGAGTGGTTAGTGAGGTGGGATGTCATTATCAGCTCAAACAAAGCCACAGAGAGGCGTTTTAGAGGACACTAGATACGTTGAGGCATATTAACTTCTTAATAGGAACCCTTTAAAGTGAGACAATTTTTCTCAAGCTTCAATGTAGCACACACAATATTCAAATTGGGCTGCGTGCACAGGAGGAGACACCGATTGGGAAGAATAAAGGGGGGGAAATACGATAAAAGAAGTAAGTGATGGGGTGAGGTGAAGGACAAAGCAGCGGCGGGGGAATCGACCTGTTACCTTCGATGATGTGTTTTCTGTTGAGGCCTCTCTCCGTCTCGGCTCTGCAGCAGAAGAAGCAGGAGAATAAGTGCGTGTCAGCACGCACACGCATGCATTTGCACATTCCTGCACATAGACACAACTCTCTTGAATTGAAGCAGATTGTTAAACAAGCAAAGCAAGAGCCTGCATAACAAACAAACCACTGAGGAGAAATACACCCACTCGACGCTGAGCAGTTCGCCCGCAGCTATCGAACAAACAGGGATGGTCGTCTTGTCCTGATCACCGGTGATTGGCCAGGTTGTTTACTCAAGTACGTTTTTTATCACATTACCCAGACGCTGATACCAGGTAAGATAACACAGAGCTAAAACCTAACCTTTAGCATTCATAGCATGGTCATTTGTGGCACAATGAGGGCCATAGTGGTTTAGTGTGACAACGTAAAACCTTTGTACATTTTTGAATTTGAATTTGGACGGTTGAAGCACATTTGTTTCAACGCTTTGATTACATTGTTGACTATTTTGAGGCTGTTTCCTTATAGATATGCACAAATATCTGGGTTGGTACCTGCTAATTGCACCAGGTTCATTACTTACATCATTCGGTCACTGTCTTTATCCGCCTGACATGAAGCACTGAGCTTGTAATGTACAGCAAAAGCTGTTTGGTCAACCTAAATAGTAACATTGTGAAGCTACACAACCGGAATGGCTGCAACACTCAAAACTGCGCTTCAGTGATTTGTCAGTAGTCATTTTCACATTTTCCCCTTGCCTGGATTCGTCTTTCTTATTTGATTCCTTTCTTTTCTTTCTGTTTCTCTCTTTGCTCTTTTGTGTTGTCTTTGCTTCATTTCACACTCTCCCTTTTTTTTTCTGCCGCCCTCCTTTCCGCTGTGTTCCTAAATGCTATAAATGTCTGTCCCTCCTTCATCATGTTTTCTTACCTTTGGTGCAGAAGGGCGGCCTATCATATTGCTCAGTAGGGCGTTAAGCAGTTGTAATGTCAATCTGTTCGGTTTGGGGAGAGATTTTGTACCTTGACAACAGTATGAGTTTAAATGACATTTTCCCAACCTACCCGACTCATCTGGGTTAGACACTGAATGGAGAACAAAAATGTTCTTATGTTGCTTCTACTTCCCCCCCGTTTGAGCCTTAAGACCTCTAATAGCAATGCGCACTGAGAGACGAATACGTCGGCATGTCACAAGAAGCAGTTATGACTCTTGGCATTTTGGCAAGAAGTTTGAGGAAACATATGTAGTGAATCAACAGGGGGTGAAAACAAGGCCATGCAGAAATGTGCGCTTGTGTCACTCATGTTTCGAGTGTGTCCTCACTGTCACTGTTTTCCAAAGTGGTCGACGCCATGTCTATGCGGCTAATGTTTTAATGTGCAGTGAGAAAATCCCAACATAAAATGCACATGTTGGACGTCATACACACATTTACATGCACACACACACACTTACTTCCCTCCCCAGTAAAGCTTTGTGGTGATCACCAAGCTAGATCTCCTGAGGGAAAACAGACAGACACATCAAAAGGTCATAAGAAGGACTTTCAAAGCTGTTGTCAAGACACATGCATGTCAAATGCTGCATGTGCGCGTGGACATGCATGGTTTCTCCAGTGATCCTTTATCTTGCAGTGTGATTCAGCAAGATCAAACAAAAACAAAAAACGTATCTTTTATGAAAAATCACTGAAAGATCCTTTTTTTCTCCACCAAGACAGCGGCCCTGATGTAAAATCCCTCACGCTTGAACGATCAATAACTGAAACGGATGCCGAGTTGAGGTTGCTGCAGGCAGTGAGTTGCCATGAGAAGAGTGATGGAGAAAGTCTTGTGACCGCAGTGTGGCAGTGCGTAGACTATACACAGCAGACGACAACTTTCATGTTCTTGCATTGGTACATTTAAGTAAGGATATTTTAGTGAAAGTTAAAATATTTGGCACCTTCAAAGATTTGCGATGTACAATACCTGAAAGCAGATGTACACAAACGTATTAAGCACAAGTATCTTCCACACAAACGGCATTTGGCCAAAATTGTTGGGCTGTTTTTCATGAAGGGAAACTTAAAGCATGAAGTGATTCCCAACCAGGGTTCAGGACGTGGTTTACTGGGAAGGTCCACCGCTTTGGCACGGATTGAACGATCTCAACTTTTGTACAAAATCCTTTTAGACATTAAAATATCATGAAAAATATTGGACAGCTGGACATTTACTGCTACAAGAGGACAACATTTATGCCCTGACCTTCATAAATAGCCATTATGAAGGGCCTTCTCTCTCAATAAACGACAATGCTACCATGCACAGCCTTAGTCAGCCAGAAATAAATGTTTCTTTGAGATACATTGCAACACCAACATCTGAGCCTGACCTCTCAAATGCTCTTGTAGCTGTAGCCATCCATGCAGCCACAGAGAAGTGCATGCAAATTAATAATATGATGAAAACATGTACACTAGGTACAGATTTTGTTGGCTTGTCCACCCACTCTAGGAGTGTTGCGCATACACACACATACTGTACATAACCTATTCACGGAACAATTTTAGAATCTTAAGAAACTTTACTTCACCTCCAGCATTTTTTCTTGATGATGTTTCCCAGGATTATCTCTGCTCTGCAAAGAAAAAGATACAAAAGAAGTTAATGGGATTATGTGTCAGGCTGCATTTTGTCTAAGACCATGTAAGCGTGACGGCTAATCTGCCAAACATCTACTGCATGAATACCTGATTAAAAATCGGCAGGAAAAGAAGATAGAGGAAAAACACCCGCATTAAATGAATGAATTCCTCCCACAGCCTTGAAACTAATATTCATCAGATGTCCAGACCTGTAAACGAGCCGTGAATATTATGTGGAGACTCCGCAGATGAAGAAGATTATGTAGATCAGCGTCGAGCTGAGCTCATTTCTGTACGTCATATTCCTGCTCTGGGGGCCAAAGCGCGTTAACCTCTTGAGTCCTGAGACAACTCACTTTCCGCCGGAGTAGACTTCTGCCGTGTCGAACAGGTTCACTCCGCTCTCGTAGGCAATGGTCATCAGCTGCTCTGCCACCTGATTCAGAAGATAAGAATTTCCCCTTCAGCGAGGTATGATGTACATCTTTTAAAGTTACCCCAAATTACACTTGAAAAAGGATGAGCTAAAGAAATTCCCTGACCTTCCCTTCCGCTGAGATGCAAATAACCAGGAAGTCTGCAGCTGCTCTAGTTTAAAGTTGTTTATCACTCAATACATTTCTGACCTAGTTTCTGTGCCTGCAGTTCACCCAGAGCCACATGGGAAGGCCAATTTAGTCAGGCTGACTTTATCTTTCTCTACTTGGCTCCATTTTTGTTTGTTTGTTTCCCTGTGTGTGCCAGGCAGTGATGAGCTGATGAGTTCAGTGGCTTTCCCCCTTCCAGCCCCGATCAAGCCACAGGAAGCGGAGTTCCACTAAATACGCAACAGGGAGCAATGAGACCTGAACACTGAGCTGACAGGAACTTAACAGATCGTATCGGGAGGTTGGTAATGGATGGTGACTAACTAAAATCCTCCCGAGGAGGCTACAGGCTCGGTGCTCACAAGGGCTCACTAGTTGTGTTTGCTAATGTTAATTAATGTTAATGTAGTCTTACCTCATCGGAGATTTGACCTCCAAACGTTACCCATGTGCCTGTAGAAGAAATCAGAGTAAAAATAACATACTCAAAATCATTCGCTCTAAGCATTAATTATCATTTTGACATTTTTGCTTGACATGAAAAAATGGCCCGCCTGAAAACCATAAGAGCCAAATGTCCGAGTTGAGTGTTAAAAGTATGAAATAATGTTTTTTGGGAGTTTACTGTATGCAGATTGTTGAGAGAAGTGCAGAATGCTTGACAGCTCCTTTTGTCAAAAGCTAAGAGAAGCTTTGTTAGTTTTAGCAGGTTTAAAGCTCATTAAAGATTCATGTATCGAGATCTACTGTTGCCTTTTCTTCAACACATCCCCCACAAACACAATAACTACACAATGAATCAGTCCTATCAATACGAGTGTGTTTGCATTCCGGTGTACATTGAATATGTGTGATGATTGAACTTGTTTGATGGAACTAATGCTGTTTAATAAAAGGGGAACTAATAACACTGTGTTGTCTCTCACGACTCTCCATAAATATAAAAGACGCACGTGGATTGAACGGGGTCAAATAATCCAATACAATTAAAACACTATCCCCTTTTGCGTGGCTTTTTCACTGGCTCTATAGTATCTCTTAACTAACACACACACACACACACACACACACACACACACGAGTTGAGTTCGCACTTGGATGCTTATGCTCTTGCTGATTAAATAAACTCACCAAGTCCCAGACAGGAGACACGCAACCCAGATTTCCCCAGGTTCCTATGAAGAAACATATGAAAAAAACATTGCTGCTTTGTCTCAAGTTGTCAGCAATGACATTGTGAATTTATGTGCTGCTGCATTTTACTTTGGGCGCACACATTCTTTCTGCTTTAACAAAACATCATAACTCTAGAGACTGAAGGGAGATGACAGTAACTTTGCTATATGCAGGCAAACTTACTGCATGTAGGGCATTGATAATAACCATCTAGCTCATCACGTTTTACCTTTATATCTCCTGCAATCATGAATCGGATTAGGGAGATTTACAGGAGGGAGGTCACTCGATTTGTTCCGTCAATATGAATCCCACCTTCTCTGCAGGAGATTGTTTCCCACCAAAGACCTTGAAAACTATACGCATGACTGAAACAAATCCTCAACCTGTTGGGGCTGCTGCCCTGCAGGACTTTTGAAGTGTTGCTGTTGGTTTCACCCCCCGTAATCCTTCAGGCAGATCATTTACATCCAGCAGATGGGCCGCAATGAAACGCCACTTTGGGGCGGCCATAAACGCAACGGAAGACAAACTAAAGCAATAGAAGACAAAATAAAATATTTTTTGCTTTCACGATACGTGCCCCATCGTGTCCAACTGAGAGGGGAACTCATGTGTTTGACGACTTAACACCAGCGATAACAGCAAGAGCCGATTGCTCTCCGTCCGGCCACAGCAGGCGTCTTCCCGCAGAGTGATGCGTGCGGAGTGCAGGTGGACGGTGGTTCACCGACCTGCGAAGGCAGCCGTTGGAAAAGAGGAAGTGATTTGAAGCCAAACGCTGTGAAATTGAGAAATCATCCATTGGACGGAATCGCCGAGACCATTTCATCCGGCGAGGAGAATTGGTCCAAATAGTTATTTCCCAGAAACACCCTCCCCATTCGGGCGGCACCTTTCTGTGTGCAGTCTGCATGTTCTCCCTGTGTCTGCGTGGGTTCTCTCCGGGTTCTCCGGCTTCCTCCCACAGTCCAAAGACATACTCTGGTTGATTGGGGACTTTAAATCGCCCGTAGGTGTGTGAATGGTTGTGTGTCTCTGTGTAGCCCAGGATGTACCCTGTCTATCGCCTGAAGTTGGCTGGGATGGACTCCAGCCCCCCTGCGACCCTGTGTGCAGGATAAGCGGTTTGACGATAGATAGATGGATGGACCCTCCCTGTTTGGTCTGAGGATTGTGTCTGCTTGGTTTTGCAGGCGTTTACTCGTTACATCAAATGGGGCCGTGAAGAAATGCCAGTAGTGCCCAACAAGTAATGGAAATGGGGAAACGTCAAGTCGTCGTGTCAGTGGAGGAAAATAAATGAGGTATGTGTTTACATATCAATTTTTAAAAAAACATTTATGGATCCTTTGATGCATTGTGCATTAAAGCAATAAGGACAACAGATCGCTCTGCAGTCAAATTGCCGGGTGGCTTCCTGTCTCTGGCACGGTGGAGGAGTTTGGATAATGTACCCGCTGTCTCTCTGATGTATTATCCAGTGGGAGCTCAGGTCCATGAGAGGGAGGGGGGAGGCTGTAAGGTTGGAAGTGTGATACTGACAGAATAGTGTGTGTTCCGTCCTGGCGTCATTGAGGGCAAAACGCACGGATGATTAGGAATGTTTACAGCTGTGTCCATAGCTCGCCCCTCTGGGTAAAGCATTTACTTATGCCTGAAATAGTTTGTAAATTGAACACACATGCATTGGATCCTCATTGATACCGCTGACATGATTGCAGTGACACGTTCATGCACATTACCTCCGCAACAAACAAGCTTGTTCCATTTCAAAATAGGTCTGATTGTCCTCGGAAGAAATTGCTAACTTTGTTTTTGGAGATCCTCCATAAGCTGTGTTTAGAGTGTTCGCGTGATGTTTTAAATGCATTCAAGATGCCTTAATGATAGCAGAAGAACGAGGCTGACGTTCAGCAGGCGGAAAAGCGCCCTGCTGCTGTATTCTTGTTTTGAGGGAAGCAAAGGCATCGGCCGTACCTGATTATTAACCACACCGCCAGGCGCAGCACAGTAATAGATCCGTTCAGGTCTGGTAATTGGATGCCAGCACAGGCACTTTGCTACGTAAGCTAATCATTCAGGGGGATTACAGCGTGTCACCAGCAGCAAAGGAACGAAAATGAACAAGTTTGTGTTAAAGAGAAAATAGCTGCTTGTACGCATGTGTGGGATCAAAATGGGGCTGCAGAGGCACAAGTTCTTAGATGGTAAGATAAACAAACTAAGGAAAGGAAAAACATCTCCACTCAAAACTGCGCATAAAGAACTTTGCAAGCCAGTGAGTGTGGCTTGGTCATCATCCTCATGCTTGGATGACGCCCAAAAGAAGCCTTGAAGTGAAATGACAAATGAGTCATTTAAAGACGCCCCCTCACACAAACCTGTCACCGCTTATGAGCATCCTGTGAGCAGCTACTGTACGCAGCCACTTCTATTCCAGTGGATACTCAGTTGGAAAAAATAAAAATAACGGCAACATCTGGATTCATTTATTTTGCTTAAAACGTTGGAGATTTATTTTCGAATGTTGGAATTCCTCACAATCAATGCTGGTCAGCTGGTCGCTGGGGATCAATGCAGATAGAAAAAGATAAACAAGAAAACAAACTTGACAGGCGGAAGGGTTAGACAACGCCCGCCTTCTCGGTTCCCACCGCTTAAAAAAAAAGAAGAAAGGATTCAGCGCAGGGGTTGAAAGGCAGGTAACATGCTTAATATATCAGGGCCTGTGTGGGCGGAAAGAAAGGAGGAAAGTGAAATAAAGCACATTAGGGGGCAAATAATGAACACATTAAGTCGAAGTGAAAAGCTCCAGCCTAGTTACTGGGGAAAACAAAACCCCTGATGAAGTCTATGGGCCTCATGGTTGAATCCTCACCAATGACAGAGAGATAATGGACGGAGAAGAGAAGGAGACAGAACGCTACGATAGAGGGACGGAATGAAAGAGACTCGAGCAGCAGACAGAAGCTCGCATAGTTACAAGACCAAGCCCCGAGTCTAAGCGGATCAAACGCCCTCTACGGATGAAGCATTCTGTATGACACAGAACGAGGAACAGGAAATGACAGCCAGCTCCCTACAGGGCCGTGCACAATGCGCATGTTTGTATGGTGTGTGTGTGTGTGTGTGTGTGTGTGTGTGTGTGTGTGTGCAGTGAGAGTCTGGACATGACGTTCTGCTTTGTTTGACCAAAGGGCCAAAGTCAACATTGTTTAAACTTTTGTCATCCTCATGCACAGACCATCGTATGCATTCACACATTGTTATTTTTACTGCGCTGTGGAAATGTATTAAAAACACTCGGACGTTTTCCGGACTGATCAGTTAACGAATATCACAGAATAACAGTATTTCTCAGCAGAGACGCATGATTGAAGCTAGCGTGGCCTGTGGGTTGATTCTCTATTGGAAAACGTGTGGGCGGATCTGAAGTGGTTGATTCAGAACATTGTGGAGAGCTTAGCAATGTAGGAGAAAAAAAGAAATCATGCCATGATAACTGGAAAGCCTTCATACGGTAGTGATAGAAAGTATGCCATGGTGTCTTTTTAGGTTTGGTTTCTGTTCACCTGCATGCATTAAAAGGAAAAAGCCAAACTGAAACATCTTAAACTGCACTGTCAGCTCGTCTTACAAATGTAAACAAATGGATGAAATAGGGTTATCCTAATAACAATTGTATCTTAATAACAATTGAGATATCACAAAATAAATGCTGAGTATCAATCCAGTGTTGCCATCCCGAACCTCCGATGAACTCAAAGCATTTCTATAAGCTGAATTGTTTTTTTCATCTGTTGACATCTGACAAACCTACAATACTGACAAACAGACGAGGATGAAACATGGTTTGTAATTTAAGTAAATTAATTCTACCAGTACTACTGTCTGTAAACACAGGCCACTTAAGGACTAACAGCTTAGATTAATTGCTATTATAAAACATCATGGAAAACCATTTTAATTGTGTCCTTTTAATTAAAATGCAAAAGTCCTGGCTGTTTATCTGAGAGTCTGGGTGGATTTTATCCTTGGGGGCTAGTTTGGTCTTTATAAGCTCCACTCTACAGGGCTCCTGTTGTGCAACACCCCGGCTCATATTATTAGAACTACACATCACAGAAAAAAGATGGTGACATGATTTGAAGTGAATGGCTTTGGAACCTAAAATGCATGTATTTCTATTAAAGCGTTTAATGTATGATGACAAACTGGGCAAAAAAGAAAAAAAAAGCTGTATCTCTGAGCAAAAGCAGCCTGATGGGCTCCAGTAGCGTGTAGTCGACACGCACAAAGTCATGCAAACACACACGCATGTATGCGCACTGGCACCTGCGCATGGACACATGTACCCAAAGTTCACATCCCACTTCAAAATCACAAACATAAATCCATGGATAACAACAACGAAGCCAACTCTGATTTGCGGTCCATCCTGAGAAGAGCCACAGTAGCAGGATGTCTGTTCCCCTGCTGTGCGGACGGACAGACGGAGGATTACATCAGCCCCCGAAATACAGCTGTTACCAACGTGGATTTCTTGCTGACTTCATGCTAAATATGTACAAATGGTGTGCAGTGTGTTCCCTGCCAAACTATTGAATGGAAGTAATTGACTGAGCTGATTAAAGGCCTCGACGTACAACAAACACAAAGTACTTTCCATTTGACAATGATGTTCTGCATGTCATCAGTCATTCCATGATGTTTATCTGTCCGATATCTGAGCAGAAGAAACCCACCCTCTGCTATCAATGATTTAAATGTAAAAAAACAAAAAATGAATACCAGTTTTTTTGCCCTCGTAAAAGATAAAGGATCAAGATAAAGGCCCAGCAGATTCATCCATTAATGCCAAGATGACACTTGTGCCACAGCAAACAAACTTCATTCAGCTCGACTGTGCAACAAGACGACGAGTGGAATACCTTGAAAAGACCAGTAGAGCCCACTTATAGCACTGAATAGACGGAGTATCTTTTTAGGTATAGTTTATGTTCATTAGTATGCATCAAAAGGTGGAGGTCAGACTGATAATATTTCAATGTGAGGATTTAAAAATTCTGAGGAAAATTGCATAATGAAAAGTTAAAACAGAAACTGCCATTTCTGTGAGCACACACACACACACACACACAAAGTGCATTATTCACGCTGTCAACACACAGATGTGTACACAGCTCAGAGAGTCTCTGCCGGCCACTGATAATCCTGCGTCTAAAGGAGCTGATGGAGGGGATGTTTGCATGCCGATCAGCAGCGCAGCTCCGACCGAGGGGAATCTCGCCTGGACTGTCAGAGGGCCTTCTGCCGCCTGATGAGCGTTGTGAACTTGAATCGGGGGCCTTTTACCAGGAACCAGAAACAATCTGCAGAGTAACAGTGAAGCGAGTAGCACCGGGATGTTTTGTTGCGTCGTTGTTTGGGGATTTGTACACTATTCTAAAAGTAAGAAAAGGTCCAACAGCATTGCACGGTTTCACTGAAAGAAGAATTAGAACCACACTATATTTGGCAACACCATATATCGCCATGACAACTAAAATGCAGCGGATGGTGTTATTATTAGTTTATGCTCGCTCGCTCTGAAAGCTGCATCTCGTGATCCAGCTACGCCTTCAGATTCTTACATTGCGGAGCCTTAACGCCGTACATGTACTGCACATGCATGCACCGATGCATGTAATGCAATGTGCAAATGCATACGGCCAAAAACGCACACACTCTTTGCAAAAAAAAAAAAGTGTGTTTTTCGTATTGTTCATCACGCAGAGAAAAATTTTAATAGAATGTGCAACATGTATTTAGTTGTAGACCCTGCAGGGTTTTACAAACAATACAAGGGTCTATTTTAACCAGTTATGAGCCAGTGCTTTGAAGGACAGTAGGAGGCAGAGGTACAGTACAGGAAGAGCCAGACAAACAGGAAGCAGAGTGGGAATGTTAAAATTTGCTGAAGGGTTTATAGGAGGCTTTGCAGCTAACATCCTCCAACTGTTTTTAGAGAGAGCTATTAGAACAAGCAAATGTTGCACACCACAACAAGCACATTTTAGAGGCCATGCACTTCGGTCCTGCATCAGCAGGGCAACATTTCAAAATATATTCCCCTGTGAGGAAAATAAAAGCAGCAGTGAAACATGCATGTAGGTTGATTTGTTGGTTGAGTTTGAGACTTTAAATATAAAAAGTGTTTAAATGATTGAGTTACAGCTGTAAAACAATATCATCTTGGTAGGAATAGGAAAAAATTAAAGTTAGAACGGTAGAGTCAGCCAGCGTGTTTGGTGCTTGGGAACAGATTGAGGTTGGCTCTTTTAATGTTGTTATGGAAACGGGATGAGATTGTGTGACGAGCAGACATTTACACATTTAGCTGCCCTGCATCCAATCTGCTACGATTCCGCTAATTGCCTCTTTTCTGCGAGCTGACCCGCGTGCCCCAATTTTCTCTTTCAGTCACTTTCAATTCTTCTTTTTTTGGTTCTTTCTGTCATCCATTTCTTGTTTCTAACTCAATCCCTTCCCATCCTCCCTCCCAGCTTCTTTCTTCCCCTCTCAGTCTCTCTGCGCGTCTCTCTGGACACCGTGGGCGAGGATGTCACCTTTTTTCAGTGTGAGCGGAAAGCTACAAATGTTTTCCTCTTGGTTACGAGCACACTTACTGAAATATGAAAGCGTTGTTTAATCACAACAACACACACTTTACTGTGACACTTTACGGCCAGTTATAGGGGCACTTATACTGATGTGTTATTGACTTGGGTCATGAAAGACCTTCAAGATCAAACTCAGTGAGGTGATATCTGTAGATCTTGAAGGCAAAACACTCCACGGTTATTATTAGTCATATCTGCTTTTCATAATACAAGTATTTTAAAGTTTTGTGAGAAGGGGATATCTTAGTTTTCACATTTATTATTTATATCCAGGCTATTATCTATATGCAGTAAAAGGTGTAAATGTGTAATAAACCCTTATAAAAAAGCTTTCAAACTGCCTTTTAGTGTGCCTGCAGAAATATATTTTCTGTATTTTTATTATTATCTCTTCATAAACTTGAAAGCAATGCAATAAAACTCCAAAGAAACTCCACTGTTATAGTCTCGGATCCTATTTTGCTGTAAAATGTGGTACAATCATGAATTGCCAATAAATCTGCTTCACGGAAAATGATGTTGACACACACACACACACACACACACACGCACACACACACACACACACACACACACACACACACATCCCACTCCTCCCCTGTCATTGCTCACATACCTTCATTGTCTCCATCAAGGCTCTTTTCATTCATCTAGTCTCCCTTCTCACCTTGAGGTATCTTGTTTTTCCACCACTATGTTTTCATTCATATTCACTTTATATATTTCTTTCTCTCACATTCAGAGTTTTTTTTTAATTTCGTGACTAGGCAGGCTAACTAAAAACAACTGGACACACTTGCCCCCTCCTTCCCCGCTCCCTATTCCCCATCGGACTATACGTACCGGTACTTCATGCCGGTGAGCTTGGCGGTGGACTCCTTCAGGTTGTGGTGGTAGCGGTGGGTGAAGGAGCCCAGGCTGCGAGCTATCAGGGCCACGGTGCGGAAGCGGGCCCGGGCCTGGCTGGCTGTGTTGGTGCTGGCGGCGTTCTGCTTGCTGTGCTCGCCGTTACGCGGGGCCTTCAGCCCGTGGTCCGTGCAGGCGAAGGACACCTGCATGGCTGTTGGCAAGAGGCTGCTCGAGCTGCTCCGAGACAAACAAGGATTCGTATGTGTCCTCAGAGCGCTTAACGGCCGTGCTGATTTCTGCCCGTGGAACTTAGGCTTTGTCCTTGTTGATCCTGTGTGGAGTTGGAAGTCTGTGGTCCATGACTGCCGGCCTGCCGCTGCTGCTGCTGAATCTCATTCGGAAATCCCAGGCCGGAGTGGGACTCTGAGCTTTCTCAGTTTCTTCGTAGGAGAATCTCAAGCTGAGTTGAAGCAGAGATCCTCTGTCGGTCTCACTCCACCTGAGTATATGAGAGAGCATTGAGATAGAGGGAGAGGGATGGAGGAGGAGAGGCACGGCGTGAGTTGCTAACAGAGTCACCCAATCGAAAAGGGCACGTGTGTGGGAAAGCGTGTGTGTTGCAAAGGGTAAAAGGGGAGAGGAGACGAGGAAAATGCTGTGTTTTAACAGTGAAAGAAGAGAAAACCCTGTGAAACCTCTGTGCATTGTCTTTCCCAGTGCTGCTTTCTCCTCTTTTCTGTCTTCCGCTAATACCCCCAATCTGCTTTGACGTGGCTATACGAAGAATGAGAGCAATCCTGCCCATGTTTTTCTTGCCAATCTCTTTCTAAGTCCATCACGTTCTTTTATCGTCTTTCTCTTTGGTGTGTTTTGTTGGGCAGCCAGGAGTTGTGGATGTCCGGCGAGTTTTTCTCGCCCTCCAAACTCAACGGAGCCTTTCAGTCAAACACCTGAAGTGAGGCTAAAAACATGCATGTCAATCTAAAACTCTCTCGGACTCCTGGCTCACATCGTAAAAAGAAGGTCATGCTTAAACAGAAAAGCAAACAGCTAGAAATTAACACTCATCTTTTCTTGCACACAAATAGATTTCTTTGCACTTACGACACACACACGGTTAAAGCGTTTCCGATGTCCTTACACACAGTGGATGTTCTCTGACAAACACAGAAGAGCTTCTCTGTTGACGTGTGCCCTCCTGCACCATTGAGAGGAATCAAGCGTTGTTACAAAGCGAGCAGAGAGACCTGGCAAAGATCCGCGTCCCAACAAAACAGCAGCAGCGTCTCCAGCAGCTGTCCTCAGCCTTGTCCCGTCTCCAAAGTCCACTGAGCAAGTAAGACTGGTGGTTTTATGGTGCCCGGCTTTGCAGCAGGAAGGCTGTGCTTGATGAAGACACCCTGGAATGGTAAGAGACAAGTGGAGAGGAGGAGGAGGAGGAGGAGGAGGGTAGAGCAGGATGCATGGTACCTCACTTCAGGGAGAAGAGGACAGATGCAGTGAGGAGGCGAGTAGCAGCGCGTGCTGTGTGTGGAGAGAGAGAGAGAGAGAGACATGCGCTGAATGAGGAAGAGACACCGTGTTCAGGCTACCGGCTCTGGCTGACTGGCTGGCCGATAGAAATGCGGTGTTTTTTTCACCATGTTGCCACACGCTCACAGCAAGAGAGGGGGGAGAGCGAGAGAGAGAGGGAGAGGATTAACTAATGGGATAATGTTCTGAATGGGAAATTCAGTGTGTGAGTTTATTTGAGGGTTCTTTCACTTCGTCAGAATGTTTAAGTGGAATATTGGTTGATTCCAGCAAGCTCATTTTTGCCATTTCGGTGCATGCCCTCTTTATACACGCAGTGACATTTACAAATCGTGTGCTAAGTACGAAGTGCCAATCTGAGAGCCCTGTGCAAACGGCAGGACAGCAGTTCAAAGGACACGCCATAGTTCATTACAGTCTCAGAGGAAGCCAGAGACGGACACGGACATCTCAGAGCAGATGTCAAGAGGCACACTGAAATGAACGTGAACGAGTGTTCAGTCGGCACAGCGTCTTACTCCCCCCCCCCCCCCCTGAGCAGTAATGTGACAATGCAGGATTTCATGGTTCATTATACATCCACAAACCTTGGGGCCAGCACAGTTATATTTATATCTTAGTTGATTGCATTTGATAAAAAATCAGTTGGGCACAATCAGCAAGAAGGGGATTTATAAACTATATATATATATATATATATATATATATATATATATATATATATATATATATATATATATATACTCAGTTACAGATGCATTACATTTCATCAATCAACATATAGCTTTTCAACATAACTTGCTTGTAATACTGTTTCTTAAACTTGTCCGGAGTTTGACTATTTCGCCATCGCCATCTTGCATAATAATGGCCGTCTCCATGTATGGAAGAAACTGTATATGGAATGTGGATGAGAGCCATCAAGATGCCATGTACAGTTCTGGTAGTAAGCCCGCTCTAAAGGATGCTTCAACAAGGTCTATATGGCTCAAAATTGGTCATAACTTAATAAACTTACCTAATTTTCATTGAAAAAGACTTGAAATTAGTGTTTGAGACCATAAACTCTGTTTACAATGTTGTCTAAGGGAATAAATCAAATGAGAAGTATTACGTTTCTAAATAAGTTCCATACTATCAAACTTCTTTTTGTGACCTGAAGAGGCGCCTCCTGCTGGTCAGTAGAGAGAATGCAAGTTTTCAGACACTTTCGCAATGGCTTCACGCAGAACTAGAGGTTGCCGCCTGGTCGAGATCTAAAAATCCTGTATTTTCCCAAAATGCAACTTGATTGAATCGGTTGTAAGACTGTCCTTGCATCCCTTTTAAATTAAATTCATGTCTTGAATAACAAAGGTTTTCTGTTAAAGATTTGAGGCCTCAAAGCCCAAACTGAAAATCATTAGGGTTATTTTGGAAAAGCTCCCTGCAGAGCAACAGAAGCCATTATACAGTAGAAGCTCTCTCTTTGACTAGTAAACTGATCGTGATGCATAAAATCCACAGAGTGCACCTTCAAATCCCACAACCTTTCAGGAGAACAAAAAGAAACTCGTGCCATCTCTCCATCTTCTCTCTGCCCTGTGGGCAAACCCTGATTTGTTTTGGCTCTCTTGAGAGGTAACTGTGCAGTTGGACAACGTTGTGATCATTCATCTAATGTTACCAGCACCTGCAAGGCGAAGTCTCTCTCCCTGACGATCCCGTTTAAAAGTATGTCAGTCAAAAGCGTCAACTAGAATTGTTCCATTCTAGGCTGGAATCCCCAAGCGGGCGCTAACGCTGTTACCCTCAGGCCAACTACTCCGTTTTAATTGCTTCAGTGAGAACCTATAATAAAGTTCTAAAACTCTGTTGTTGAGATACAAACTTCGCACATGTTGAAATAGATGAGCCGTGGAGCTGCACTGAGGAGACTCATAAATATCTCTAACCTGGTGCTGGATTTCCTAAAGTGAGGAACATCTGCCAACTTCATAGCTCCCCAAAACACTGCGTCCCTCTATTCAGAGACATTGGTGGGGGTTTTTAACATACACTAGCCCCTCTCTGCAACAAAGATTTTGGCTTCACAAATGTTTCCCTTGTGTTTCAAAGGCTATTTCATTTCAAATAGATTTTCCTTATCAGCACTCGCCTGCTGTTTGGAAGAACCTTTTCCACGACGTCTGTGACGTATCTGCTGCAGCAGCAGTACCAATATCTGGCTGTTACATCACTTCTTCCTTGATGTACTTTCCTCTGCATTCCCCCTTTTCACTCACATCTTCTGTCCGCCGGTTAATCCTTTTCTCTCGTCCCCAGCTTCCATCTCCACCTCTCACAATCACATTTGAACAGTGCGTAGAGTCCGTAGTTGTTGCCCCTTTGCACAGGTCATTGTGATTCACTGCGTGTACGGCAATTTCTCTCACAGCAAACATGAAATGCCAAATCTGCAAAGTATTTCACTAAAAATGATCGTCAGCATCGCCCCATAACTATTATTCCCATTATTATCATCATTTCCACCACCATCATTGTGGCATTTCACATTATCAACTTTTGCCACCATGTCATCTCAGCTTAAAACCACTTGATTTGGTGACGCTGACGGATGCTGACATCTTTATTGTAACATCTCCAACAGAAGCCCAGTGACCTTATGCGCCTACCCAGCAGGCATAGGGCCTCATGGCGGGGATATGTTTATTGACAGAGGGAGGTAGATGCGGAGTTATTTATTGTCTAATGGGGAGGCGCTCAGTGGTTCATTATTGATGGAATGGTATATACCTGTACAGTTTCGACCGATAAATGGCTCATAAGCTCATTTTGGAGTTTTAGCTTTTTAGTATCATGTGTTATTTAAATAAAACAGGGTGTCACGACTGGACAATGGCCCTGAACCCAAATGCACGACTCACAGGCAAAGCTCAAAAGAAATCAAAAGTTTATTAACAAATAGGCGAGTGCCATTGAACTAAAAATCACTCGTGGTCGAGGAAAAATACTACTCACGAAACCCTGGTTACCTGGCATGAGACCAGACGAACTGGCACAGGACAAAGGGAGACGCAGACAATATATACACACAGGGTAGGGGCACAGGTGAAAACAATCAGGGGCAGGGCAGACACGGGAGGAAGGGGCAAGTTGCCTGAGACGAGAGGGAGGTACATTTTCAAAATAAAACAGGTCTCACAGGAACACACAACTCACAGGACATGAGACAGTTTTACCGACGCCGTTTCCTGGGCATGACACAGGGGTTTTCAATGTGAGAGGCAAACTCACTGGATGAATGAGAAAAAATATCACGCTATGTTATCAAATCATAAAAAGTAAACTCCAGACCAAATATATCTGGCTCAATATAATTGCCGAAATCTGATATATAATTATTTACATTATATATATTTTTTTTCATTATATGTGATGTTTTTGAGAGGCATGTAAGGCATCGGTATATGCACACACCAATTATTTGGTGTTATTCATGAATGAATTTGATACTGCTCATTTTAACACCATATTCTGTTTGCATATTCTCAATTAGGCTACACCCTGAATGGAGCATTTTTCAATCCAAGACATTTGTGATATGCCCATAATGTGTATGTTTTAGGAGCATTCTTTGGAGTCTCAATAGGATTTTTAGAGCTATTTGCAATACACAGCCTGTTTCCTGTTTACGACCAGCTCTCAACTAACCAATAGTTGGCTCATGCAATGCCCTCGTCGGAAGGAATAACACACAAAAACACAGAAACACACACACAAACATGTTTAAGCAATATGACGTATTTGAAAACAGGATTTTTTGACAAGATTTTGAGACAAAGAGGCAGAATGGCATGTAGCTCCTGCGGTTTCCCTTTTCCGTTTGATAAAGTGGATAAATTACATATATGGGCATTGACCACAGCTGAGAATGGCGTCAACATGGGATTCATTGACTCCTGGGATTAGGATTAGGATGGCGCATGGGTGTGTTTTATGTTAATCAGAATATGCACTGCTGCACATGAACAGGAATGTCAGTGGAATATTAATTTCCATTAGCCAGCTTATTAAGAATGTTGTCTTTTTTGGAACACGGGCAAAAACTATTATCATTTCTTTGCATGTAAATATATTCACTGTCATGTCACATGACATTAGTGGATTTAGACAACAGATTACTTATCTTATATAACAATGGTAGAAGGTCACATACATTTCATGTTACGAGTGATCCAATCACATAATGAACATCAGTTGTGTATTCTTTAAATACACCAATTCTTGCCAAAATAAAAGTTAGTTTTCAGTAATGGCATTGCGTGTCATTCGGCATGTAGGATGAACCTGCAAAAAAGGTTGCAAAAATGTTTTTGCTATAGATACCGCTGAGGTATCCCTTATGGTCCAGGGTTCAGCAAAGGGCGCCAGCACCACTGGGGAAAAATCATTATTAATCATTATGCTTTCAAACAATGAGCTGATGTTTAATTTAAACATCGATTCACGCCCCTAAGGGGGTATAGTTTTCCTATAGATACCACTGAGGTTCACTTCTCAACTCACTGGCAGGCCGTGGCAACCTCACACCAGAGGGGCAGCTAATAGATCGTTAATATGGTGAGTGCTTATTTTGTGGACAATAATACATGTTTTAGTAAAGGGGTCTACTCATTAAAGGCTCTTAATTCACACAGGGATAAATTAAACCTTTAAAGATTGTACTATGTACGTATTTACTTTCTACAAACACCAACAAGGGATCTGGCAAAGGTATAGGGAGAATGCGAGCACGATATAACATTTTATATTTTTTATTTGATGAA